GGGAAGAAGCCCAAACCCGCGGGCGGAGCCTCTGGAAAGGAAAGGGAGGCAGCAGGACTCACCAGGGCCTCATCAGTCAGCAGCTGGGTGGCCATCCCTCCACTGCCCGCAGTGACCTGGAACGGCAGGCTGTGGTCCAGGGCCTCATCAGTCAGCAGCTGGGTGGCCATCCCTCCACTGCCCGCAGTGACCTGGAACGGCAGGCTGTGGTCCAGGGCCTCATCAGTCAGCAGCTGGGTGGCCATCCCTCCACTGCCCGCAGTGACCTGGAACGGCAGGCTGTGGTCCAGGGCCTCATCAGTCAGCAGCTGGGTGGCCATCCCTCCACTGCCCGCAGTGACCTGGAACGGCAGGCTGTGGTCCAGGGCCTCATCAGTCAGCAGCTGGGTGGCCATCCCTCCACTGCCCGCAGTGGCCTGGAACGGCAGGCTGTGGTCCAGGGCCTCATCAGTCAGCAGCTGGGTGGCCATCCCTCCACTGCCCGCAGTGACCTGGAACGGCAGGCTGTGGTCTGGGGAGAGAGGGAGGCACGGTGAGAGGTCAGGCCTAGGTCCGCCTCACAGTGTAGACAGGACAGACACACACGTGCCCCCAGAGAGGCAGGAGGGAAGGACACACACACACACACACGCACGCGCGCACACACACACACACACACACACACACGTTAATAGCAAACACTCAGGTGCTTGTCACCCGCAAAGCACTGGGCCAACATCTCTCACTTAATCCTCCTAATACCCCTGAAAGGTGGGCACTATTTCCACCCACCCCGTTTCACCATATGGTATCTACATGTGGAATCTAAAATATGACAGAAATGCACATATGGACGAAACAGACTCACAGAGAGAGCACACTTGCGGTTGCAAGGAGGAGCAGGGGCATCAGGGAAGGATGGACTGGGAGTCTGGGGTTAGCTGATGCAAACTATTATATACAGACTGGAGAAACAGCAAGGTCCCACTGTACAGCACAGGGAATGACAGCCAATGTCCTGTGACAAACCATAATGGAGAAGGACATGAAAAAAGCATATAAATGCATAACTAAATTGCTTTGTTGTAGAGCAGAAATTAACACAACATTGTAAATCCACTGCACTTCAATAAAAAAGAGAACATTACCAAGTTAAATGTTGGTCCCTATAAATTTTAAACAATGAAATTTCAAATAAAAAAGCAATATAATTATTTTTTTTTAAAAAAGCCCCACTGTATATCACAATGGATCATAAACACACAGGCTGGTGTCTTCCACAAACTTCAGAGCACCATGCCTTGCACACAGAAATGCCTGAGCAAGCCCTCAGCAAAAACGTCCTCTAGCTTAAAATTCTATGGCTTCCCACGGGCATTAGAAATCAGGAGTCTTCACCACTGCCCACGTAGCCCTTATGGTCTGCCCTGGGGACCTTCCCTGTCCCGCTCTACTCCCCTCTCAAACACTTGGCCTCAGGTGCACTGGCCTTTGCAGCTGCTGTTCCCTCTGCCAGAAATGCTCTTCCCTTGGCTGGCTCCTTCTCACCGTCAACTCAAATGTCACCTCCTTGGAGAAGTTTCCCATTCCCAGGGCCCCAAGGTCAAGCATTAATAGCAACCACCCCTCACCCTCTGCCATCTCCTTATAGCCTGCATCATTGCTGACAACTGTCTCTTTAAAAAGTTATTTTCAAAAGTTTGTCATCTGTCTTCCCTCCCCAAGAATAGAAGTCTGGGGGAAGCAGAAATGATGATATGTGGATTGTGATTCTGGCATCCAGGGTAACAACTTGTTGTTGTTTAGTTGCTAAGTCACGTCTGACTCTTTGCGACCCCTTGGAAAAGTGACAGATGAGACAGGTGGACACCTGGATGACACTCTCAGAAAGACACCATGGACAGAAATAAAGGCAGACACACAACTACGGATGTGGACACGGGTGATTACCCAGAGATATCCCCCAACAGGGACAGGCAAAGACCAGACATAGGGGACACCCACACAGACCAAGACAGGTAGGCACGCGCAGACGTGCAGACACACACCGATGTGCATACAGCCACACACTCACACAGGGATTCGTCTCCTTTCCCATCCCATCAGATTAGTTGGTAACGGCTTCCAGGAGACTCCAGGCTTCCTCCCCGCCTCGCGCTGAGCCGGCACGCCCCTCACCTGAGCCCCACCCCTTGCCCTCAGTCCAGCCGCCCTCACCCAGCCCGCCGGCTCGTCCTCTGCGCTCAGTTCCCACCTGGGCGCTCCAGCCCCGCTCCTCGCCCCTCAAGCCCCTCACTTGAGTCCGCACTCCTCTTCTCGGGACCGACCCCGCCCACTCTCCCTCTCCTCCCGCCCCTACCCCGGCAGCCGCCGGACTCACCCACGCCGCTCGGTCTGGACAATGACCAGGCGCAGCGCGGCCTGGCCAACTACACTTCCCAGAAGCCCGCGCGCGGAGCGGAAGCCACCCGAGACCCGACCGCGCCCCTCCACTCCCAGAGGCCCCCGCGGCACCGGAACCGCGGCCAATGGAAGTTGGATAGGAAGAGGGAAGGAATCAAGGGCTGGGAAGACAGAAGGAAAACGGAGAGAGAGTGGAGGAAGAGAGATGGGGGAGGGAAGGGCAGAAGAGTGGAGAGGAGAGGGACTGCTTAGAGAGGAAGAGGGATGAAGAAGAGAAAATTCCAGAAAAGGAGGGAGCCAGGTCCACCCATCTCCTGGGCTGGACTGAGGGATGGTTCTGGGCAGCTTACTTAAGCGTGATATTATACAAAATAGCTGAATTATAGAAATTTTGTGAAACATACAGAGATGCAAAGTAACAAATGATCATAAGAAAAAAACAGTCTTCACCCTTTTTATTATGGCTTCCCTGATAGCTCAGTGGGTAAAGAACCCACCTGCAATGCTGGAGACCCCCAGGTTCGATTCCTGGGTCAGGAATATGCGCCGGAGAAGGGGATAGGGTACTCACGCCAGTATTCTTGGTCTTCCCTTGTGGCTCAGCTGGTAAAGAATCTGTCTGCAATGCAGGAGACCTGGGTTTGATCCCTGGTTGGGAAGATCCCCTGGAGAAGGGAAAGGCTACCCACTCGAGTATTCCGGCCTGGAGGACTCCATATAGTCCATGGAGTCGCAAGGAGTCAGACATGACTGAGCAACTGAACTTATAGGCCAGCTCCTGTTCTTGGCGTTTTGATGACTTAAGAACGTGTTTAATCCTCACAACCAAGCTTCCAAATGAGACAGTGGTACCAGAGAGGCGGCACAGGAGCACCACGGGGGTGCTGGGGTGGGAACCAGGCCTCCCAGCTGGGCCTCTTACACCATAAATCACAAAGCCAAGCACAAAAGCATTTGCTGAAATGTCTGGGTGGCCACAGAAATGTGAAGAGTCAGCTAGTCTTAAGTCGTTAATGACTTCCATTAAATATTTTCACAAGTGTAGATACACATGCAGCTGTAAAAAAAAAAAATAACAAATCATAGAGATCTAGTGTACCATTTATCTGGTTCCTGTAAGTATGACATCTGTTGTTACCTAACCAGGTTCATTTGCCCAAGGCACAGCAAGAAAGACAAGGTCTGCAACAAGGAAAAGGTTTATTCCTAGGCAGCCAAGCAAGGAGCTGGGAGAACATTGCATCTGCCTCCCTGAGGGGAGGGGCTGGAGATATTTTGGGTAAAAGAAGCAGAGTGGTCTTAGGCATGGGGAAAGGTACTGGGGGTGGGGAAAGTGAGACACTCTGTGTTCTGTGCAGGTATGTCTGAGTTACTTGCTTCCTCATGTACTCAATTGTAGCACAGGGTATGGCCAGCTACTCAAAGGAAAAGGAGATTACAGTCAAAAGAAGAAGGCAAGGAAAACTGGGCAAAGAAAAACAGAAAAACATGTATTTAGGGATTTATTTTTTATATTATGAGTTCACACTAGACTACAGGTCTGAAAAAATGCTTTTCATTTAATATAGCACGACTATCTTTTATGACTATATACACATTTTTTCCAACTGTTGCATGTAATTCTGTTGAATGAATTCAGCGTAATTAACTTACCCGTTTGCCCATGACCTTAAGTTGCTAAGTTTATCATTAAAATTTTTCCCATTATACATTTACCTACCTTTGTACACTTTGGTTTCTGAGGAATATTGATTCAGATGGTCTATATCTATATAGCAATTTATATAATGGGAAATGAAATTGCCTTGTTTTTCACACGTTCACCAAAACTGGATTATTATCACTCTTCTATGGTTTAAATCAATCTATTGGGGAAAAAAAGTAGATTATATTATCACTTTATTTTGCATTGCCTTGATTACCAATGATAGTGGGTAATTTTCTTTTGCTGTTTTAATATCAGGGAGTATTGCCCTTTGTCATATTTGTTGTAAACATTTTTTTTCAGTCTTTCATTTATCTCTTAACTGATGGTTTCAAACAGAAGTATTACTCAGTTTGATGTCACCTCCTGCGTTATGTGTAATGCTTAAGAAAGTGTGCCTCAAACCAAGGTTACAGAAATATTGTTTTTCTTGTAGTTTAGTACTGTACATTTAGCTCTCTAATCTGTCAGAACTTCATCAGGTGCAAAGCATACATCTACGTTTTTCCAGACAGCTAACTGTCCCAAGGCCATCTGATGAATCTGCCTTTGCCCCACTGAAATGAAAAATCCCTTTTATCATATATAAGGGCAATCAGAAATTTCCACGTGCTCTTGGTAAGACCACCCATCTCCTGGCCTCTATGCCAAAGTAAAGAGGAAGCCCCAAACCCCATTTTCCAGTGGTTGTGTCCTCTGGACGCGAGCTCCCCTGACATGGCCTCAGGCGGCGGCCGAGAGGAAGCCGGAGAGCTCCGGATGCTCCAGGAGCCTCCAGACACATGCAGTGCTCCAGGTATCTGTTCTCCACCAGGAGTAAGAGCATCCACTGAAGGGCAGGGGGCCTCTGTTTAGGTGATGGTTACACAGCTCTGAACTTAGAAAAGCCACTGAACTTTATGTATCTATATATATATGGCTTCCTAAGTGGTTCAGTGGTAAAGAACCCTCCTGCTAACACAGGAGACACATGAGACTCAGTTTCCATTCCTGGGTCAGGAAGGTACACTGAAGGAGGAAATGGCAACCCACTCCAGTATTCTTGCCTGGAATATTCCATGGAGAGAGGAGCCTGACGGGCTACAGTCCAGGGCATCGCAGAGTCAGACACCACTGAGTGCGCACGCGCGCACACACACACACACACACACACACTCACACACACACACACACAGCACACACAGACACACTCACACACACCACACACACACTCACACACACACCACACACACACACACACACACACACACACTCACACGCACGGGCTACAGTCCAGAGCATTGCAGAGTCAGACACCACTGAGTGTGCACGTGCACACACACACACACACACACACACACAGACACACACACACACACTCACACACACACAGCAGTGAAAGTACTGAGTCCTAACCACTGGACTGCCAGGGAATTCCTTGAATCATATACTTTAAATGGGCGAGTCACAGCTCAGTAAGACTGCTGCCAAAACAAAAGGAAAACATTTGATCCCTGGTCAGGGAACTAGATCCCTTATGCTGCACCTGAGGATTCTGCATGCTGCAACTAAGACCCAGCACAGCCAAATACATATAAAGGAAAACAATAAAAACAAAAACCTCTAACAGCCTCTAAACAACGATTCACAACGGGTGAAAAGAACTCTCATGAACCTTGTTAAACCATCAGTTCTCCCTGAAACACTCAAAGCATCGTAATTATCCACTTTGAGACTATCACAATTATTCTCATTCTGTCCTTTGTGGCTGACTTTTTTTCTAGTTCTTCCCTCACCCCTTGGCTCTAATGCCCATATGTTCTGGGGGAGTAAGGCATCCCCTGCCAGCACCCTGGATCCCCCTGGATCCCGCTTTAGATCATTTGGCATCATGGTACACGTCACATACTTACAATATAGTATTGCAATTCAAATTTTAGTTTGCTTTTTCCCACTAGATCTGCAAGATCAAACTTTTTTTCGTACATTTTGCACCTTGCTGCATCCCCAGCACCCAAACCAGTGCCTGGAACATTAGTAAATGTTCAACTAATCTTAATTTAATGAATATTACAGAACTATACTTCTTGCTATATCACAATACCATATAGATGGTCAAAATGAGCCTGTCAACTTACACATGTGGACTTCTACTGGAATACAAGTGAATTCACGTATTTAACTTGGGAAGAAATGTCTTTGCCAGACTCAGTGTGTCTATACAGAGACATGTCTAGCTTTTCATTTCCTCTGCTTTTTAATATTTAAAGAATATTTGTTTTAACATCTACATTCATAAGCCAACTGCAATATATATGTCTTCCTGTTTTGGTATTTGTCTTGTCAGTCTCACAGAACAAGATGGGAAGCTTTACTGTATTTATTTTATATGCTAGAACAATTCAGTACCACAGGAACTGTCTGTGGTACCTTCCCACAGTTGAAAGTTTTGAGCTATCTTTTGTAGTTTAATTCATGGCTATTAACCTACTCAAGCTTTCTAGCTGGTTCACTTTAGTTTATTTTTAATACTCTCCCCTGGCAAGTCCCACATTCTATCAAATGTTTTTGGTCTAACTGGCCTAGTCTCACTTCCAAGTGCCAGGCGAGGTGAGATTTCCTCATCAGTGATGCTAGATGTCTCCTTTTTTTAAAGCCTTATTCTGCTAAAGGTTGTTGTTGTGTAGTCACTATATACTGTCTGACTCTTTTGCAACCACATGGACTGTAGCCCACCAGGCTCCTCTGTCCATGGAATTTCCCAGGCAAGAATATGGACTGGGTTGCCATTTCTTCCTCCAGTAGATGTCTTTTTATTCATTCATACAGAAGGAAGAGCAAGCCACCATGTTACCTTGAATATCATAGAATCTTTCAGTTCTGAATGTGCTCATCTTTCCGACCTACAAGGAGAGTAGAGAGTTCTGTTTTAATCTTGGCCTACTGGCTGATTACACTTGGTAGAGAGTTCTCTGTCTTAACCTTGGCCTCCTGGCTGATTATACTTGTTACAGAGCTCTCTGTCCTAACCTTGGCCTCCTGGCTGATTATACTTGTTACAGAGCTCTCTGTCTTAACCTTGGCCTCCTGGCTGATTACACTTGTTAGAGAGCTCTCTGTCTTAACCTTGGCCTCCCGGCTGATTATACTTGTTACACAGCTGTCTTAACCTTGGCCTGCCGGCTGATTACACTTGGTAGAGAGCTCTCTGTCTTAACCTTGGCCTCCTGGATGATTATACTTGTTACAGAGCTCTCTGTCCTAACCTTGGCCTCCGGCTGATTACACTTGGTAGAGAGTTCTCTGTCTTAACCTTGGCCCGCCGGCTGATTACACTTGTTAGAGAGTTCTCTGTCTTAATCTTGGCCTACTGGCTGATTACACTTGGTAGAGAGCTCTCTGTCCTAACCTTGGCCTGCCGGCTGATTACACTTGTAGCCGAACATCCCTGTAAGGGAAACTCCACCTTAATGGCACTGACTGTAAGTCTAGGATAGCATGCTAAATGCTTTAAGTGGATTACCTAATATATTTTTCAAAATAAGTGTTTTAAAGGGAAAAGTAACATGAATAAATTCTTTATTTTTAAAAGATGCAGTTGGCTACAGTGTTAAAAATGCACCTGAGGGGAGCAAAAGGAAATATGGTTGTAACGCTATGCCGAAATCCAAATGAGATGGCTGCATCTTGGACTGTGACAATGGCATGCTGCGCTGGAAAAAAGTGATAGATTCTAGAAATGTTTAGAAGATTGAAACTAGAGGACATGGTGGTAGGAAGAGGAGGGAATCACTGAGGATGACTCTCCAGTATGAATTCGCTGGTGGTGAGCAAGATGTACAGTCTGCCTGAACGTTCTTCCACATGCTTTACACTCATACGGCCGTTCTCCAGTGTGAATTCTCCTGTGCAGCGTCAGATGGGCAATCTGGCTGAAGGCCTTGTTGCATTCCTTACACTCGTAAGGTTTCTCTCCTGTGTGAATTCTCTGATGCAGAGTAAGGGATTTACGATGACTAAAGGCTTTTCCACAGATGTTGCATTTGTAAGGCTTCTCGCCCGTGTGACACCTTTGGTGACAGATCAGGGATGCCCTCTGTCTGAATGCCTTCCCGCATTCGAGACACGCATAGGGTCTTTTGCCAGTGTGAAGTCTCTGATGTTGAGCAAGATAGGAGCCATCACTGAAGGCCTTCCCACATTGAAAACATTCATAAGGCTTCTCACCAGTGTGAACTCTCTGGTGCTGAATAAGGTGAGCAATCTGACTGAAGGCCTTACCACAGTCCTTACATTCATATGGTTTCTCTCCAGTGTGTATCTTCTGATGCTGTGTGAGATGAGCATTCTGGCTGAAGGTTTTGCTGCATTCCTTACATTCGTAAGGTTTCTCCCCAGTATGAATTCTCTGATGGTGGGCAAGGTGCGTGCTCTGCCGAAAAGCTTTCCCACATTCCTTGCATTCATAGGGTTTCTCTCCAGTATGGACTCTCTGATGGAGAGTGAGCGAGCCACGATGGCTGAAGGCTTTCTCACAGATACTACATTCATAGGGCTTCTCTCCTGTATGCGTTCTCTGATGGACGGTCAGGGAGGAGCCATGGCTAAAAGCCTTTCCACATACATTGCATTGGTAGGGTCTCTCTCCAGTGTGAGTTCTCTTATGCTGAATAAGTCCTATGTGATCGGTGAAGGCTTTCCCACAGTCAATGCAATCAAAGGGCCTTTCTCCAGTGTGACAGTACCTTCGATGACGTGTAAGAGAAGCGTTCTGCCGGAAGGCCTTCCCACACTCAATGCATTTGTAGGGCCTCTTTCCAGTGTGAATCCTTCGGTGATGAGCCAGGGATGAGCAATCACTGAAGGCCTTCCCACACTCGATACATTCATAGGGTTTCTCTCCAGTGTGAACTCTCTGGTGCTGGGCAAGATGTGCGAGCTGGCTGAAGGCTTTGTTACACTGCTGACACCGATAGGGTTTTTCTCCAGTATGAACTCTCTGATGTTGAATGAGATGGGCATTCTGGCTGAATGCTTTTCCACACTCGGTACATTTGAAGGGTTTTTCTCCTGTGTGGATTCTCTGATGTTGAGCAAGGTGGGCACTCTGGCTAAAGGCTTTTCTGCATTCGAGACATTCATAGGGTTTCTCTCCAGTATGAATTCTCTGATGAAGAGTAAGAGTTGAGATTTTGCTGAAAGTTTTCTCACAGTCATTACATTTCAAGAGTTTCTTTCCTCCGTAGACCTGCTTGTCTTTTTGCACAAAGGAATGTGTCTTTAAGCTTTTCTTACCTGTGTCAAAATTACATATTCTCTCTTTGATGGGAAATACCTGTTTTATATAACATAATGTATTCAGATGAAAAATTGTCCCAGATTTATTAAAGTGGTCTCCTTTCTCAATAAGGGTATTTATATGACTGACTGTCTCTTGCCTAAAATGTCTCTTTGGACTTACCAGCTCCCTCTCAAACAGGTCTTCATATTTCCAGTTTTCCCCTAATGTGGAACATTCAAGGTCATAGCTTGTAAGTCTTTCCATTATCATTGCTTGAGATAATTGTTCCTCATAGATGTCCTGGTTTAGAGATAATTCCTTTTTCATCCACACATACTCCAAGTCTGAAAGATATTAAGAAAGCAAATGTCTCCTTGATTTAATGCTTGAAGAACAGAAACTTGCAAAACAAAACCATGTGAATCACAACAGTTGCCAAAGCCTATAAAGGGACATGTTTTTGACAGTTCTTCAAGTTAGGTGGTGTGACCATCTTTGCATTTCTAGAGTAAACCCTCCTTGGCTATGGTATATTATTTCAACATGACTTTTTATTTAAGATATTGCACCAATATTTATTATTGCATTAATAATTCCCTTTTTTGGGATGCTATTTTGGTATCAAATGTTACACTATCTTCACAATAACATTTTAAAATAGTTCTCCTTTTTAATTCTCTGTCAAGGAAAACTTCAAACAATGATTTTTTTCTTTACAAGCTTTATATAATTACTGTGTGAAACTATTTGGGGTTAATTGCTTCTTTTTTGTGAGGAGGAAGTTCTTAAATGACTTCCTACATATTTTTAGTGGTACCTGGTCTGTTCAAATTTTCTATCTCTGGTGTCAGTTCTGGTAATTATAGTCTCATAAAGCATCATCCATTTCATTCAGATTTTCAAATTGTTTACAAATAGTTGAGTTTCAAAAATGGATTCATATGATTCTTTTAAGTACTTAGGCATCATTTACCATTATTTCTTTCCCTGTGTCTTCTCTCATTTGTCCTGACAGTTTATATACTTTTATCTCTAGCAATATAAATCACTATGTGTAACTTATTTCAGTTGTCCTGAGGGTCATTGTTTTTTCTAATATCTTGAATTGAATGCTTAATTCATTTAAAATTTATTTATTGTTTATTAACATACAGTTTTAGTGACCTACCAACATCCAATTCTTGAAACTCTGAGAAGTGAAAGCAGGAAAAGGCCACACAACAAGCCTCAGAATAAACTAACCTCCTCACTTGAAGCTCATTTCCGTGCAGCATATGTCCACAGGCTCTAATCTATTGCTCTAAACCAGAAAAACAGCTTTTAAGCAGGCTAGGGTAAAAAAATTAATAAACTGAAGAAAGTAACCTGAGCCAAAAAATTCTAGTAAGTACAGTAAAAGGGAAAAGACAAAGAGGAAGGAAGGAGATAACATTAGTGAGTTAATTTCTTCATCTTTCATATGGGTATCAAAAGATGTTATTTTGAATCTCAAGTGGATGAGTTTTAAAATGCAAATTAAAAAATACATGAAGTCATAAAGTTAACAACTTTCAGAACTAAACTTTTTCAATTCAAGGGGTACAATGGTGTGAAGGGGGATTAAAGAAGAAGCACAGACAGCAAAACAAAAAGAAATAACAACAATAAAAAAGAAAGAGCAAAGAGAAAAATGATTAAAAGCAGAGAGAAAAACATAGCTGTATACTGGCTGACTTGATAAGTCACATTTTAAAGGAAGGAAAATATTTAAACAAGTTTGAAAAACTAGACACAAACCTGTCTGAAGAAGTAAAAAATGGCTCACAATCAGGAATAATTATAACAATACAGTGCTTGAGCAGAACTAGGTACACATCAATGGAACACAACAGAGCTCAGAAAGTCAGGGTGGCAGAAAACCAGTCAAGGTAAAGGTGGGATGCTGTACCAGTGGGGAAGAGAGGAAAAGACCCACTTAAAAAATACTAGTAGAGGATTTCCCTGGTAGTCCAGTGCTTTAGAACTGGACTGCCAATGCAGGGGACATGGGCTCGATCCCTGGTCTGGGAAAATCCCACACGATGCAGGGCAACTAAGCCTATACACCACAACTAGTAGACCCACGTCCCGTGACTAGTAAAGCCTGCTCAGCTACAGTGCCTGCTCCGCAGCAAGAGAAGCCACCCCAGTGAGAAGCCCGCGCACTGCAGTGAAGGGCAGCCCCTGCACACTGCAGCCAGAAAGCCCGTGGCGCAGCAGCGAAGAACCGGGACAGCCGGACATGAACAGACAAGTAAAAGGCGGTGTATGCGTGCGTGCTCGGTCGCTCAGCTGTAGCCCAACAGGCTCCTCTGTCCATACAATTTAAAACGGTACAGAAAACAGTTGTAGAACAAAAAGTTTCAATTTGGGGAGGACTTTGAGAGGTATTTTCCAACAAGCATCAGAGGGAAGAAACACCTTTAGCATTGCTTTCCTAGCTTGAGTCATCCTGCACTTACCTGCGCACGGGCCTCCTGTCAACTCTCCTTTCGCCGTCCAGGGTTCTTTATCTCGCTCCAGCAAGGAGATCACATCTGGTTTAGAAACGCAAAGACCTGCACGTAAGAGAAAAGATGCAAATTAAAAAATACATGAAGTCATAAAGTTAACAACTTTCAGAACTAAACTTTTTCAATTCAAGGGGTACAATGGTGTGAAGGGGGATTAAAGAAGAAGCACAGACAGCAAAACAAAAAGAAATAACAACAATAAGAAAGAAAGAACAAAGAGAAAAATGATTAAAAGCAGAGAGAAAAACATAGCTATATACTGGCTGACTTGATAAGTCACATTTTAAAGGAAGAAAAATATTTAAACAAGTTTGAAAAACTAGACACAAACCTGTCTGAAGAATTAAAAAATGGCTCACAATCAGGAATAATTATAACAATACAGTGCTTGAGCAGAACTAGGTACACATCAATGGAACACAACAGAGCTCAGAAAGTCAGGGTGGCAGAAAACCAGTCAAGGTAAAGGTGGGATGCTGTACCAGTGGGGAAGAGAGGAAAAGACCCACTTAAAAAATACTAGTAGAGGATTTCCCTGGTAGTCCAGTGCTTTAGAACTGGACTGCCAATGCAGGGGACATGGGCTCGATCCCTGGTCTGGGAAAATCCCACACGATGCAGGGCAACTAAGCCTATACACCACAACTAGTAGACCCACGTCCCGTGACTAGTAAAGCCTGCTCAGCTACAGTGCCTGCTCCGCAGCAAGAGAAGCCACCCCAGTGAGAAGCCCGCGCACTGCAGTGAAGGGCAGCCCCTGCACACTGCAGCCAGAAAGCCCGTGGCGCAGCAGCGAAGAACCGGGACAGCCGGACATGAACAGACAAGTAAAAGGCGGTGTATGCGTGCGTGCTCGGTCGCTCAGCTGTAGCCCAACAGGCTCCTCTGTCCATACAATTTAAAACGGTACAGAAAACAGTTGTAGAACAAAAAGTTTCAATTTGGGGAGGACTTTGAGAGGTATTTTCCAACAAGCATCAGAGGGAAGAAACACCTTTAGCATTGCTTTCCTAGCTTGAGTCATCCTGCACTTACCTGCGCACGGGCCTCCTGTCAACTCTCCTTTCGCCGTCCAGGGTTCTTTATCTCGCTCCAGCAAGGAGATCACATCTGGTTTAGAAACGCAAAGACCTGCACGTAAGAGAAAAGAAGATGACCTGTGCTGCGGGTGTTCCAGAGCTACATGGTACTGGGAGAAGAGAAACACTGTAGGAAAATGTTGATGAGGACCTGAGACCACTGAGGCAGAGAGACTCCTAAGGGGAGATATGAGGAGGCATATGTTCTCACCCAGTGAAGCCAGGTTGCTGTAGTTCTCTAACATCACTTTCTTGTACAGAGTCCTTTGAGCAAGAGTCAGCCATTCCCACTCATCTTGGGAGAAGTTGACGGCTACATCCGTGAAAGTCACTGCATCCTGAAATGACAAAAATGTCCTCTTGCACAATTAGTGTTCATCCCCTGACTTAGCTGGCTCTAGGGTTATAAGTGAGGGAAAAAAAAACTGGGTGAGTAATTGCAGTGGGGAGTCTAAATGATAGAGAACAAGTAGTTAGTTGAACTGAACAACTTTTCTGCCTAGTTACACTGTACATATTAGGAAAAAGAAAAATACAGAGATGCTTTCTGCTCTTAAAGCATTTTATGGTGTGAGGAGATACTCTCACATGAAAAACTGTTGACTGCATTCAAAACAGAGTATCATCGGAATTTTGGTTACCTGATGCAAAGAGCCAACTCATTGGAAAAGACCCTAAAGCTGGGAAAGATTGAGAGCAGAAGGAGAAGGGGGTGGCAGAGGATGAGATGGTTAGAAAGCATCCCCGACTCAATTCACATGAATCTGAGCAAACTCCAGGAGACAGTGAAGGACAAGGAAGCCTGGTGTGCTGCAGTCCATGGGGTCACAAAGAGCAGGGCACAACTTAGTGACTGAACAATGACAACAATCATGGGAATTTCCCTGGCAGTCCAGTTGTTAAGACTCCATCCTCCCACTGCAGGGGACATGGGTTCAATCCCTAAGATCCTGCATGCCTTGCAGTGCAGCCAAAAACACAACACAACAAAACAAATAAAAACCCTAGAATATTATGAAGCAGTAAATATATATGTTAGAAGTTAGCTCACTTTTATACATGGAGAAACAAAAGAGCTCTGGGACTGCAATAGAAAGTTTCAAGGAATGAGGCTGACCTGATGAGCATGACTTCAAGCTCCACAATATATTCTAAGAAATCTTAGTGTTCTTGAGATACTGAGGTGTGCCTAAAAGATGAAAGAAAAAATGCCTAGTAATGCTATTCTCTTTTGAAATACAAATATATTTGGATTAGGAGAGAACTCATTCGGCAAACTGTTTTTCGATAATCTGCTGAGAAGGATCAGGAGAGATCATACGAGATAAGCACATGACAAGCAACCTGGGTTTTGTTACGTGAGCTGAATTTATAACCAAATGAAGTGAGGCTGATTCTAGGGTTGATGGGATATTTTCCGTTCCTGTTTTAGTGATTTCATTTATATCAATATCTTAGAATGAGTTTTAAATATACACCAGTCTTGAATAAGACCAGAGGAAAAGGTCAGATTAGTCAAAGAGTTCAGACTCTGGCACTGGCCAGCTGGGTGATCTATGCCAAGTTGATGAACCCCTTCGTCCTTCAAGATTTCCCTCCTAAAAGAATGGGAATAATTTCAGTACCTACCTTAGAGCAGCACTGTGAGAATTAAATGAAGTAACAGGCACAGTGCAGGCTAAGTACTCAAGAATTGTTATCAGTGATAATGATGAAGGAAAGACGGGAATAAAAGAAGAGGAGGCCAGAAAGAGGTGAAACATTTGGTTTAATATTTCAATGAAAGCTTCGCTTATATTTTTACTAGTTTCAGTATGTTATGGTAGTTACATGGCTGTGGTGGTGTCACACAGAAATAATTCTCATAAACACACAGGATTACAAGAGAGCGCAGGGAGAGCTCATGGAAGAACAACCCCCTGAGGAAAGTGCTGAGAGCATGTTTATTAGAAGCTCATCTGACAGCGCTCAGCGGAGTATGACAAAAACCGGAAATCATGCACAAAGGCAGACATCTGAGGGAAACGGAATGTGCGTGTACACGACTTCTTTGAGGTCAGCCAAGGATCACATGGGATTCATAAGGAGTTGTTCTGTGTGCACAACAACACATGCAGTGGGCTGATATGTCAGCCAAAATATCTGTCTTATGGGCATGAGAAAGGTTATAAAAGAAATAGCACAGCTACAAGATAGCAGAGCTTATATGAAGACTAGCAAGTATATTCTCTCACATATGGTCTCTGAAGCCAGAACACCTATGTTCAAGTTCTGTTCTGCTCAGCAAACCTAAGCTGTTAGTTTTGTTTTCAACCAGTTAAGATATTTTAAATTAAAAAGAACAGCTGATTGCATTTACATAGAAATATCACTGACTTGATGGACATGAGTTTAAGTAAGCTCTGGGAGTTGGTGATGGACAGGGAAGCCTGGCGTGCTGCAGTCCGTGGGGTTGCAAAGAGTCGGACATGACTGAGCGACTCAACTGAACTGATCTACCATTTCTGCTGCTGCTGTTGCTAAGTCGTGTCAGTCGTGTCCGACTCTGCGTCCCCGTAGGCGGCAGCCCACCAGGCTCCCCTGTCCCTCGGATTCTCCAGACAAGAACACTGGAGTGGGTTGCTATTTCCTCCTCCAGTGCATGAAAGTGAAAAGTGGAAGTGAAGTCGCTCAGGTGTGTCCGACTCGTAGCGACCCCATGGACTGCAGCCCACCAGGCTCCTCCATCCATGGGATTTTCCAGGCAAGAGTACTGGAGTGGGGTGCCATTGCCTTCTACACTTCCTTAAATCCCAATGTTCCAATTTTCAGAAGAAAATAAACCTGCCAAAATCCTGAAAAGCAAGCTAGTACTTTAGGAGAAAAAAGGGAATACTAACCAGGGACATGGCTTTAAGAAGTTCAATTCCCATCACCTCTTCATCCTGGCTCCTCATGTGGAGAAGGGCTTTACCCCGAGAGGGCAGAGCTGGGAGGAGGAGAAAGGAACGATGAGACACTGAGTGGCTCTGATAGTCACAGCCCAGAAACATTTCCCTTCGGCTCCCTCTGTTCTGCAGTCCACGCTCCTGTTCCTATTGCACCTGCCCTCACGGTCCAGGAAGTCGCTGGGAAACCTTTAATTCACAGCTGGGGCTCCGCTCCGCTCTGGTTTCAGGCTGAGCACAACCTCTTTCTCACCCAGATCCACCCTTTCATTAACAACAGAGATGTATGAGGTGTGCTGCACATATTAAAACTCTTATTTGACCTTCACAATCTTCAGCAAAAACGGGGAATCTTGTCACAGTTTCACACATGAAAGCTCTGGGAAGTGTAGTCTTTTGCACAAGTCACAAGCTTGTAAACAGTGGAGCCGAGTTACCAACATAGATCTGCCTGACTCTTCCACCCAAGTTATTTACTCAAGCAGACACCAAAATATAACAGAAAAAAATCCCCCATGTACAACTAACTACTAAGGATTTGCAAAGAGTCCATGAGACTTGAAAAAAGCCATCTTCCCGAGAAAGAAGTAGTATTATCTTTGTTACAGCAGAGTTCATGTGGCTTGCAGAGAGCTGGACCAAAAACCTGTCAGGAGGCTCAGGTTCCCATTTTGCTCTGTGACAAACTATTCAGTTCTGAAGAAGTCCCCTGTGCCCCTGAGCCAAGTTTCTTCAATCAGGAAGAGGATAAAAATATCTGACTTGATTATGGTTTCTTTCTTCTAAACTCCAGTGCTTTTTCAAAGCATTATAATGACGATTAAAAGAACGAACTTATTAAGCACTGGTTATTATGTGGCAGGGACTACATCATGTACTTTGCAGGTATGAGCTCACTTAATCCTTATAACAGCCTTATGATGTATACAGTATCATCCTCATTTTACATAACAAAAGCTGGATCTGAAAGTTTAAAGGAAAAAACTCGTGCAGTGGAGGTCTTGGGATCTGAACTCTTGAAGTTATTTAACCTTCTCAGGGTCAGTTTCTCAACTGTCAAAGGTGGTTAAGAATGTCACCTCAAGCAGTTGTGGAGGGGCTCATATGAGACCCAGCACGAGGGGGACTCTGGACTCAGCCTGTCCTGGATGTGAGTCCTGGCTCCTCTATTTACTGATTACTTGTTCTTTCTATGCGTCAGTATCCTCATTTGTAAAAAGGAGATAAGACAGCTTCCACTTCACACTGTTTTGAGGTTTGGTGTTAATATCCCTCAAAGGTCTTAGAACCGTGTCTGGCATAAAGAAAGCACTCAGTAAACATTAGCTACCGTTACTGCATATAGAAAAACAAGTGAAGAACAATAAAGCTGTGGGCACTCTTTCTCCCCCACCCCCTCTTTACTCACTCTGGTTTTGACAGAGAAGTGTGAGGTAGGAATGGGGGAGTACTTTTATTCACCTACTAAAAGGTGACTAAGCCATGGAAAGTCTGGGATCCCTCAGCACTTCCAAATGAAGCTGTGAATCTCGCCTTCCTCCCATGTCTCATCCCAGGGATAAATGGGACAGGACTCTAACAGATTTTTTAATTCATTAATTTTTAATTGGAGGATTATTGCTTTACAATGTTGTACTGATTTCTAACATACAGCGACATGTGAGACCCAGCACGAGGGGGACTCTGGACTCAGCCTGTCCTGGATGTGAGTCCTGGCTCCTCTATTTACTGATTACTTGTTCTTTCTATGCGTCAGTATCCTCATTTGTAAAAAGGAGATAAGACAGCTTCCACTTCACACTGTTTTGAGGTTTGGTGTTAATATCCCCCAAAGGTCTTAGAACCGTGTCTGGCATAGAGAAAGCACTCAGTAAACATTAGCTATCGTTACTGCATATAGAAAAACAAGTGAAGAACAATAAAGCTGTGGGCACTCTTTCTTCCCCCCCTCTCTTTACTCACTCTGGTTTTGACACAGAAGTGTGAGGTAGGAATGGGGGAGTACTTTTATTCACCTACTAAAAGGTGACTAAGCCATGGAAAGTCTCGGATCCCTCAGCACTTCCAAATGAAGCTGTGAATCTCGCCTTCCTCCCATGTCTCATCCCAGGGATAAATGGGACAGGACTCTAACAGATTTTTTAATTCATTAATTTTTAATTGGAGGATTATTGCTTTACAATGTTGTACTGATTTCTAACATACAGCGACATGAATCAGCCATAGGTATACACATGTTCTCTCCACCTTGAACCTCCCTTCTACCATACCTCTAGGTCATTAGAGCATCAGGTTTGAGTACCCTGCATCACACAGCAAATTCCCACTAGATATCTATTTTACGCATGGTAATATATATGTTTCCATGGGACTCTCTCTATTCCCCACCCTCTCCTTCCCCAGCTGTGTCCACAAGTCTGTTCTCTATGTCTACCTCTCTACTGCTACCAGGCAAATAGGATCATCAGTACCATTTTTCTAGACTCCATATGTATGTGTTAATATATGATATTTGTTTTTCTTTCTGACTCACTTCACTCTGTATAACAGGCCCCAGGTTCATACACCTCATTAGAACTGACTCAATGCATTCCTTTTTATAGCTGGGTATCAAATCCCTTATGATTATACAGTGGAAATGACAAACAGACTCAGGGGATTAGATCTGATGGACAGAGTGCCTGATGAACTATGGACAGAGGTTCGTGACATTGTACATGACGTGGTGATCAAGACCATCCCCAAGAAAAAGAAATGCAAAAAGGCAGAATGGTTGATGGGGCCTTACAAATAACTGAGAAAAGAAAAGAAGCTAAAGGCAAAGGAGAAAAGGAAAGATATATCCATTTGAATGCAGAGTTCCAAAGAATATCAAGAAGAGATAAGAAAGTCTTCCTCAGGGATCAATGCAAAGAAATAGAGGAAAATAATAGAATGGAAAAGACTAGAGATCTCTTCAAGAAAATTAGAGATACCAAGGCAACACTTCATGCAAAGATGAGTACAATAAAGGACAGAAATGGTATGGACCTAACAGAAGCAGAAGATATTAAGAAGAGGTGGGAAGAATGCACACAACTATACAAAAAAGATCTTCATGATCCAGATAACCATGATAACCCAGATAACCCAGATAATGATGTGATCACTCACCTAGAGCCAGACATCCTGGAATGCGAAGTCAACTGGGCTTTAGGAACCATCACTACAAACAAAGCTAGTGGATATGATGGAATTCCAGTTGTGTTATTTCAACTCCTGAAAGATGATGCTGTGAAAGTGCTGCACTCAATATGTCAGCAAATTTGGAAAACTCAGCAGTGGCCACAGGACTGGAAAAGGTCAGTTTTCATTCCAATCCCAAAGAAAGGCAATGCCAAAGAATGCTCAAACTACCGCACAATTGCACTCATCTCACACGCTAGTAAAGTAATGCTCAAAATTCTCCAAGCCAGGCTTCAGCAATACGTGAACCGTGAACTTCCAGATGTTCAAGCTGGTTTTAGAAAAGGCAGAGGAACCAGAGATCAAATTGCCAACATCCGCTGGATCATCGAAAAAGCAAGAGAGTTCCAGAAAAACATCTATTTCTGCTTTATTGACTATGCCAAAGCCTTTGACTGTGTGAATCACAATAAACTGTGGAAAATTCTTAAAGAGATGGGAATACCAGACCACCTGACCTGCCTCCTGAGAAATCTGTATGCAGGTCAAGAAGCAACAGTTAGAACTGGACATGGAACAACAGACTGGTTTCCAATCAGGAAAGGAGTGCATCAAAGCTGTATATTGTCACTCTGCTTGTTTAACTTATATGTAGAGCACATCATGAGAAATGCTGGACTGGATGAAGCACAAGCTGGAATCAAGACTGCTGGGAGAAATATCAATAACCTCAGATGTGCAGATGACACCACCCTTATGGCAGAAAGTGAAGAAGAACTAAACAGCCTCCTGATGAAACTGAAAAAGGAGAGTGAAAAAGTCAGCTTAAAACTCAGCATTCAGAAAACTAAGATCATGGCATCAGGGCCCATCACTTCATGGCAAATAGATGGGGAAACAGTGGAAACAGTGAGACTTTATTTTCTTGGGCTCCAAAATCACTGCAGCTGGTGATTGCAGCCATGAAATTAAAAGACGCTTGCTCCTTGGAAGAAAACCTATGACCAACCTAGACAGCATATTAAAAAGCAGAGACATTATTTTACCAACAAAGGTCCGTTGAGTCAAAGCTATGGTTTTTCCAGTAGTCATGTATGGATGTGAGAGTTGGACTATAAAGAAAGCTGAGTACAGAAGAACTGATGCTTTTGAATTGTGGTGTTGAAAACTCTTGAGAGTCCCTTGGACTGCAAGGAGATCCAACAAGTAAATCCTAAAAGAAATCAGTCCTGAATATTCTTTGGAAGGATTGATGCTGAAGCTGAAACTCTAATACTTTGGCCACCTGATGCCAAGAACTGACTCACTGGAAAAGATGCTGATGCCGGGAAAGACAGAAGGCGGGAGGAGAAGGGGACGACAGAGGATGAGATGGTTGGATGGCGTCACGGACTCAATGGACATAAGTTTGAGTAAACTGCAGGAGTTGGTGATGGACAGGGTAGTCTGGCATGCTGCAGTCCCTGGGGTCGCAAAGTCAGACACGACTGAGCGACTGCACTGAACTGAATATTCCGACACTAACAGATTAAAAAAAAAAAATTAAATACTGAGGTCCTCCTTGAAGAGCAGCAGAGCACTCAGAGGTAATGTTCTAATTGTGAATGCTCTCTCCCCTCGGTCCTTGGAGACACCCAAACAGATCTCTAAGAGGAGGGCAAGTCAAGGTCCCTCCCTGAATTCAGCTCCATACTCTGGTTCTAGGTGACCGTTCAGATTTTTGAACTTCTGCGTCCACCAGAGTCTGAGGCCAGGGCCATCATCCTCCAGTCCCTGGGCCCACGAGCAGCACCCCCAATCCCAATTTCCACTCTTACCTCCATACTCAGGCCCGTGGACATGTATGGTGTCCCGATTTCCACATCCTCCAGGCGGGCAGGCAAGAAAGGCTTCAGGCAAGAAGGTGCCCCGACCGGGCACCTTCCCAAGATTCCAAGGCTTTGGGCCACACCGAACTTTCGGTGGGAGAGTCGGGCGTGCTGGACTGGAGTGGGATGGTCTCCTCCGGGGGCGTTTCCAGCTCTCAGCCACGTAAAATCCTTCATTCGTTCCAGTACACGCTGCTGGGACGGGCAAAGTGCACAAGAGGCCCGCGCAGAAACACGCGCCCCAGTCACACAGCAGCCTCCTCCGCGGCGCGCTAGTCACATGTCACACCTGCACATACACTCTCTATTCACACACGTACCCGCCGCCTCTTCCCGGTCACACCTTCCACGCACTTCGGTCGCGGTCGCCAAGTCACGCGCGCACGATCACGACTCTCGCCCTCCCGCGCGCAGACCGAAACGCCGACCCCGTGGCGCCTCCCCGGGCCCGGCTCAGCAGCGGTCGCCACCGGACGGGACTCTTCCTCAGAACCGGCCAGACTCGGTCGGGGCTTCAAGTCCTCGCCAGACGTGGGCGAGCGCTCACAGCACAGGGGCCCCTGGGAAACGTAGTCCCACCAGGGACGCCGGCTTTCTGAAGTCGGGGGCCGGGGTTCCTCTCCCCTGCCTGGTGCCCGCTGCCCTCTGTCCCCTCTCGGTGCCGCCTGTTCCGGAACGGGGCGGCCTAGAAGCCTTACAGCTCCGACTCTGGCTCGTAGAGATACTGGCTACCTCCATGAAGGGAGCGGAGTCCCCGGGGCTTCTGGGAACCGTCTCCGCGCTCGGAGTGCGCAGGCGCAGCTGTCAGGCTCAGCGAGCTGAGGCCCCGGGAGCGGTGGTCGATAGTGGGCGGGGTCACAGGGTGCGTGGAGCGCGCAGGCGCATGGAGCCGGAGGATGGTCTACGAAGTGGGCGGAACCTCCAGGATAGACCGAGATGGGAGGTTTCAGATTTCTCCTGATGCTTTATAACTGTGTATACATACGTGGTGGCTGGGGTCGGGGGCAAAGGGAGGCAGGTAATTTCCAAAGGTCTGCAGATTGAAGAGGACTTCCCAAGGGGCGCTAGTGGTAAAGAACCCGTCTACCAATGCAGGAGACATGAGACACCGGTTGGATCTGTGGATTGGGAAGGTCCCCTGGGGCAACCCACTCCAGTGTTCTTGTCTGGAGAATTCCATGGACAGAGGAGCCTGGAGGGCCACAGTCCATAGGGGCGCATAGATTCGGACACGACGGAAGCGACTTAGCCCTCACAGGTCGAAGAACTGACGTTTCACTTTAATTATCTAATTCACTTGTAAAAGAGCATCACATTTATCCTTAGAACCAGCATATCTCATCGCTGTTAGTTTTTGCTAAGAGCTCTCCAGACCCTGTGCACAGTGGGCTTGTGATCCTGCTGTATCGTGAGTATTCCTTCCTAATAAAACATGGGATTTTGTTTCTCTTTTGGTCTTTTTCAACCAGTCCATACCAGCTTCTCTGTAGTTCTGAGAATCACCCTCTAGTACCAATTTCTACATGAGAATAAAAGATGACTTTAACTTCGAAGTTACAGTATTGGAAGGATACCAGGGGCCTTGAAGATTTAAAGAATTTAACAAAACTAGGATGTGGGGAAGCAGGAATCATTTTAGTGCATCAGATAGGTAGGGATGCAGAAATCTTTAGGTTGCTTCCAAAGCTTGACTCAGTTCCACCAATTTGCAGTCCAGGAGTGATATTCCACATCCTTAACTGCTAGTACAAGGAGAGGCAGAGCCAATCAAAATGAAGAGTGAACTATAAGAAAACATCCCTTATGGCCAATGAAAGTGAAAGTCTGTCAGTTGTGTCTGACTCTTTGCGACCCCATGGACTATACAGTCCTGTACAGTCCGTGGAATTCTCCAGGCCAGAATACTGGAGTGGGCAGCCGTTCCCTTCTCCAAGGGATCTTCCCAACCCAGGGATTGAACCCAAGTCTCCCGCATTGCAGGCGGATTCTTCACCAGTTGAGCCACAAGGGAAACCCATAAATGAAGCCTAATATTGGCCCTGAGTCTCCAATCAAAATACAAAGAATGAAAAATCTGCCTGGCTTGTTGTACTGTTCAACAGAACAATACAAAAGGAAGAAAGACAAAGTGCCAACAAAGAGCTAATGTGTGTTAAAGATGAAAACAGATTTCAATATACATGTTGAGAAAATACATACATTGGGTTGGTCAAAATCTTAATTTGGGTTTTAACATGGAAAACCTGAATCAACTTTTTAGTCAACTCATATACAGACACACATGCACACACACACACACACACATATTAAATATTTTGACTCTATATGATAAGATCATTTTACACATAAGGTTCTGCAAATCACATATTTCATTTAATATAATTGTGTATGACAATACTCCATAGGAGCAAATATAGAATTTCATCTTTCTACTAACTGGACAATACTGTTTTGAATAATCACAATTGCATCAATCTGTGTTGTAATTAAAACAACTTTGCAATAAACATTATTTATACTTATATATTTATTCCAGTGGGATGAAACTCCTAGATCTAGAGTTACTGTTTCAAAAGGAACTCATGTTTATAAAGCGGACAGGTCATGCCACATTGCCACCCCAAACCAGAGCAGACACATTGACATGGGTAGTGATGACCAGCCTCCTGTTTTCCACACTGATAAAGGTATGGCATATTAACCAGGTAAGATTTTAACCCATCTGAGAGCCAAGATTTGTACTAAATCTGTAATTTTCTGACCAATGGGGTTAAGAACCCAACATGTGTTCTTTATTCGAGTTCTTCGAGCATGACGCATCTGCTGGCATGCACCACCTATTTCCCTGCTTTGTATGTGTCATAGCACTCTGTTCTTAAATGACACATTTATTCGTACACATTGTTATTTTCTGCCAGTTGTCTATTACACCTTTTTGGAACCTTCTGCCATGCCAAAGTTGATTTAGTTGTGTCCAACTCTTGTGACCCCATGGACTATAGCCTGCCAGGCTCCTCTGTCCATGGGATTCTCCAGGCAAGAATACTGGACCGGGTTGCCATTTATTTCATAATTAGAGCTGCTAAATACAATTATCTCATATTTCTTTGTAAGGTCTAGGTATGTTTTCTTGGAGAGTGGATAACTGATTGTTAAAACATCATTTCCCCAATGATGAAAACCTAATCTTAATTATAGGTTGTTGTTTAGTCACTAACTTGCATCTGACTCACTGGGACCCCATGGACTGTGGCAGTCAGGCTCCTCTGTCCGTGGGATTCTCCCGGCAAGGATCCTGGAGCAGGTTGCTATTTCCTTCTCCAGGGGATCTTTCCCACTCAGGGTTTGAACCTGTATCCTGCACTGGCAGGTGGATTCTTTACACCCAGGGAAGCCAATCTGATTATAAACCAAAACATTTTAAAAATGTCCTGCTATGTTTGACAAATCACATTTCTGTGTTTTCCACTGAAATTTTCAGAGCAAACATCCTACTGGGAGTCTGTTGTGAATGGTATTTTACATTTTAATGGTATTACTTCATCTAGAAAAATATCGTATTTCTCCTTTTGTGGACATTATTTCCTCATATTTACTATTGTTTGATGCTTTAATAATGTCCTTTCACCTCTATTCATAAATTGGTTTAGAGTTTTTCTTGTTTTTGATGGGAGAGTTCTATTATTCTCAGGGAAATAATTAGAACCTTTTGAGTGGTTTTTTTTCTCTGCATGGAGCGGGAGTTGGCGAGCTTCTGCCGCACGAGGATATTAAGTAAACACTTGAGGTTTTGCGGACGACAGCGTCTCTGCCGCAGCTTCTGAGCTCTGCTACTGTGGCCTGACACTGCCCCCGGCAGTAGGTACCATGCGGTGAGCCACGGCTGTGGGCCAGTCAGGCTTTATTTACGGACTCTGAAATTTAAATTTCATGTAACTTTCATGTTGTCATAAGCTATTATTCTCTTCACTTGTTCCTCCGTTAAACTGATTTTTAAAAATTAGGCCATGGGCTGTTCGAACAGTCAGTGAAACTTGGGCGGTGAGTCACATGGTCCAGATCAATTTGCCTGAAGGTTAGTGGTTCCTTGAGTTGAATGGAATTCACCCATAAGCCCTGGCGAATTTAAATGATCAAGTCCTGCTGAATGTAAAGCAATTCTCTTACCAACGTCACAGCACCTCACACAGGCAGATAAGTGACAAGCCCCAATACTAACTCAACATTGTGGAACTGAGTTTAAAACCAAAACCGGAAAAGCCTCACTATCGGGAATCGCCCTTTCCTGATCTAAAAGCCGGCTTCTCTTGGCTTCCTTCTGTGCATCGTTTTTCCTCAGCTGCCAGTGGTAACTTTTCCGTGTCCAAAAATAACGTTCCCTAAAGAGCTAACATCACTGCACCCTTAGTACGGACCACTCCTCGCGCTACACACACCTTACACATTCACCGACCGGAAGGATGGCATCCCCGGGCTTCACGTGAGGCGTAAACGGGTTCCGCGCTCACTTCAACTGGCAACCTGAGGAGGAAACGGCAGGAACGGGACAGTCCTCAGCAAAGAGGGGCACGGGGCTTGAGGCGCGGCCTCTCAGGAAGGCAGGGACGGCAGTGAGGGCGGGCTCCAGAGGAACGTGGGCGCGAGGCCCGCGGGGCTCGCCGCGGGCGCGGGCTGCGCGGGCGCCTCTCCCGGGATTAGGGCTTCTTGCCCGAGTGGCACCGCTGGTGGCGGGCGAAGGATGAGCCGTTGCTGAAGGCCTTGCCGCACTCCTTACACTTGTACGGCTTTTCGCCCGTGTGGATCCTCTGGTGGACGGTGAGGGACGAGCTCTGTGTGAAGGTTTTCTTGCATTCATGACATTTGAAGAGTTTTTTCCCTGTGTAGATTCCCGCATGTTTTATCAGCACTGAGTTTGGCGGCAAAGCTTTCTTAACCGAGTCACGGCGGTGGACCCGCTCTTCTGAGATGTCCAGGTGGAACCACCTTCCTGGTCTGTGATACGGACAATCTCTCCCCTCAGAGAGGGTTGTGTGGCAAGCGACTGCCTCCTGCCCAAGCCGTGTCTCCTGACCTGCCAGCTTCCGTTCAAACAGACCCTCAGCGTCCCAGCTTCCGCTGAGCGTGGAACACTTGACATTAGTGTCTAAAGTTCTGTCCGTCACCACTTCAGCAAAGCGACTGTGATTTTGAAGTAACTCCTGGGTCTCCTGTATAGACTGCTGGCCTCCTGTCCCCGGATGGCGGTGCTGCCACACCACGCTCCTACAGAAACTCTCCGCAGCGGGGTCTGGCTGCTGCGAGACGTCTGAGGCCACATCTGTGACGGCCACCATGCCAGGCGCCCCATCACACACAGCGGCGTAAGCCCAGCCTTCCCCGAGGATGGCACACTCCGCGGGTCTCTCCGTGTGCACCTCCTGGGACAGCGCCTCTTCACTGAAGTTCTTCTCTGAAGGCAACTCCTGGGTCTTCAGCGCAGTCTGCAAGTCTGGGCACCTGCCTCTGGTTGACTTTCTCTTCACAGCCCAGGGCTCCTTCCTCTGTTCCAACGACGAGATCATCTCGGGCTTAGACATGCAAAGTCCCAGCGAGGCCAGGTTCCTGTAGTTCTCCAGCATCACGCTCCGGTGCAGGCTCCTCTGGGCCGAGTCCAGCCAGGCCCACTCCTCCCCGGAGAACTCCACTGCCACGTCGCCGAACGTCAGCGGGCTCTGGGACGTGGCTCGCAGTTCAATTCCTGTTCCGGCCGCCTCCTGCTTGGGCCTCCTCTCCCGAAAGGCGGCCGTGTCCCTGGAAGGCAGAGCTCTGTCCTCAGGTGCCATGGTCACCATTCCTCGCCGGCCCTTAGACGTGGGGCCACTTCTTGAGCGCGGCCTTCCCCGGGCGGGGCGGGCGAAGGAGACCGGGGTCCCCGCGCTCCGNAGTGGCACCGCTGGTGCCGGGCGAAGGATGAGCCGTCACTGAAGGCCTTGCCGCACTCCTTACACTTGTACGGCTTCTCGCCCGTGTGGATCCTCTGGTGGACGGTGAGGGACGAGCTCTGTGTGAAAGTTTTCTTGCATTCATGACATTTGAAGAGTTTTTTCCCTGTGTAGATTCCTGCATGTTTTATGAGCACTGAGTTTGGTGGCAAAGCTTTCTTAACCGAGTCACGGTGGTGGACCCGCTCTTCTGAGACGTCCAGGTGGAACCACCTTCCTGGTCTGTGATACGGACAATCTCTCCCCTCAGAGAGGGTTTTGTGGCAAGCGACTGCCTCCCGCCCGAGCCGCGTCTCCTGACCTGCCAGTTTCCGTTCAAACAGACCCTCAGCGTCCCAGCTTCCGCTGAGCGTGGAACGCTCGACATTAGTGTCTAAAGTTCTGTCCGTCACCACTTCAGCAAAGCAACTGTGCTTTTGAAGTAACTCCTGGGTCTCCTGTATAGACTGCTGGCCTGAAAGATACCAAGGAGACAAACAACAAACACACACGTCCTTAATTGTACGCTGGGGAAAAGAGGAATCTGCTAAAAGGGAAACTGAGGAGAAACTCACTGGTGAATGAAACCCTAATGAAACCACTAAATCGTGTACCACTAAAACACGGTAAAATAAACTCATCAGTGAATGAAACCCTAAGGAACCACTAAACTGTGCACCTCTGAAACACAGGAACATGAACTCACTGGTGAATGAAATCCGAATGAAACCACGAAACCGTGCACCACTGAACCATGGGAAAGTGAACTCACTGGTGAATGAAACCCTAAGGGAAACACTAAACCGTGCACCGCTGAGTCACGGGAAAGAAAACTAACCGGTGAATGAAACCCTAATGGAAGCACTAAACCCTGCAGCACTGAAACACGGGAAAGTGAACTCACTGGAGAATGAAACCATAATGGAAACAGTATACCGTGCACAGCTGAAAGACGGGAAAGTGAACTCACTGCAGAATGAAACCCAATGAAACCACAAAATCATGCACGGCTGAAACACGGAAAACTGAACTCTGTGGTGAATGAAACCCTAGTGGAAACACGAAACCGTGCACTGCTGAAACACGGGAAAGTAAACTCTCGGTGAATCAAACTCTAATATAACCACAGAAACGTCCACCACTGAACCATGGGAAAGTGAACTCACTGGTGAATGAAACCCTAATGAAATGACCAAACCATGCACCGCTGAATCACAGGAATGTGAACTCAGTGATGAATGAAACCCTAATGAAAAAACTAAACCGTGCACCGCTGAAATATGGGAAAGTGAACTCACTGGAGAATGAAACCCTAATGAAACCACTGAACCGTTATCAGTTGAATCACAGGAAAGTGAACTCATCAGCGAATGAAACCCTACTGGAACCACTAAACTGTGCACCGCTGAAACATGGGAAAGTGAACTCACCAGTGAATGAAACCCTAATGGAACCACTAAAAGGAGCACCTCTGAAACATGGGAAAGTGAACTCACTGGTGAAAGAACACCTATGGAACCACTAAACCGTGCACGGCTGAAACATGGGAAAATGAACTCAGTGTTGAATGAAACCCTAATAAAACCACTAAACCCTGCACAGTTGAAACATGGGCAAGTGAACTCACTGGAGAATGAAACCCTCAAGAAACCACTAAACCGTGCACAGATGAAACTTGGGCAAGTAAAGTCACTGGGGAATGAAACCCTAATGGAATCACTAAGGCGAGCACCGATGAAAGAGGGGAAAGTTAACTCACTGGTGAATGAAACCCTAATGGCATCACTAAGGCGAGCACCGATGAAAGAGGGGAAAGTTAACTCACTGGTGAATGAAATCCTAATGGAAAGACTACACCGTGCAGCGATGAGACACAGGGAAGTGAACTCACTGCTGAATGAAACCGTAATGAAATCAGCAGACTGTGAACTGCTGAAATACGGGAAAGTAAACTCCCGGTGAATGAAACTCTAATATAACCACTGAACCGTGCACCATTGAACCCTGGGAAAGTGAACTCACTGGTGAATGTAACCCTAATGGAAACATGAAACCGTGCACCGTTGAAACACGGGAAAGTGAACTCACTGGAGAATGAAATGCTAATGAAACCACTAAAGTGTGCAGCGTTGAAACACAGGAAAGTGAACTCACTAGTGAATGAAACCGTAATGGAATCACTAAACCGAGCACCGATGAAAGAGGGGAAAGTTAACTCACTGGTGAATGAAACCCTAATGGAAAGACTAAACCGTGCACCTCTGAAACATGGGAAAGTGAACTCACTGGAGAATGAAACCCTAATGAAACCACTAAACCGAGCACCGATGAAAGAGGGGAAAGTTAACTCACTGGTGAATGAAACCCTAATGGAAAGACTAAACCGTGCACTGCTGAGACACGGGGAAGTGAACTCACTGCTGAATGAAACCATAATGAAATCACCAAACCGTGTACTGCTGAAACACGGGAAAGTGAACTCACTGGTGAATGAAAACCTAATGTAACAACTAAAACTCTCACTGCTGAAACACGGGAAACTGAATTCACTGGTGAAATAAACCCTAACGAAACCACTAAACCGTGTACCTCCGAAACATGGGAAAATGAACTCACTGGTGAATGGATCCCTAATGTAACCACTAAACCGTGTACCTCAGAAACACGGGAAAGTGAACTCACCAGTGAATGAAACCTTAACGGATCCACTAAACTGTGCACCTGTGAAACACAGGAAAGAACTCACTGGTGAAAGAAACCTTAATGAAACCACTAAACCATGCACCGCTGAACTATAGCAAAGTAAACTCACTATTGATGAAACCCTGATCAAACTACTAAACCATGCACCACTGAAACAGGAGAAAGTGAACTCACTGGTGTAAGAAACCCAATTGGAACCACTAAACCGTGCACCACTGAAACATGGGAAACTGAACTCACTGGTGAATGAAACCCTGATGGAACCACTAAACCGTGCACCGCTGAAACATGGGAAAGTGAACTCACTGGTGAACGAAACCTTAATGAAACCAATAAACCATGCACCGTTGAAAAATGGGAAAGTGAGCTCACCGATGAATGAAACCCTAATGAAACTATAAACCATGCACCGCAGAATAATGGGAAAGTGAACTCACTGGATTAAGAAACCCTAATAAAGCCACTAATCCGTGCACCACTGAACAATGGGAAAGTGAACTCACTGGTCAATGAAACGCTAATGAAACCACTAAACAATGCACATCTGAAACACGGGAAAGTGAAATCACCGGTGAATGAAACCCTAAAGAAACCACAAAAGCGTGCACCACTGAAATGCGGGAAAGTGAACTCCTGGTGAATGAAACTCTAATGCAACCACTGAACCGTGCACCACTGAACCATATGCGAAAGTGAGCTCCCTGCTGAATGAAACCCTGAAAAAACTAAACCATGCACCGCTGGACTATGGGGAAGTGAACTCACTGGTGAATGAAACCCTAATTAAACCACTAAAACGTGCATCTCTGAAACACGGGAAAGTGAACTCACTGGAGAATGAAACCCTAATGAAACCACTAAACTGTGGACCTCTGAAACATGGGAAAGTGAACTCACTGGAGAATGAAACCCTAATGAAACCACTAAACTGTGGACCTCTGAAACACGGGAAAGTGAACTCACTGGAAAATGAAACCCTAATGTAACCACTAAACCGTGCACCGCTGAACCATGGGAAAGTGAACTCACTGGAGAATGAAACCCTAATGAAACCACTAAACTGTGCAGCACTGAACCATGGGAAAGTGAACTCACTGGTGAATGAAACCCTAATGAAACCACTAAACCGTGCACCGCTGAAACATTGGAAAGTGCAGTCTAGAGTATGCAAGATGACTCCAGACCAGCTTCATACAGGAACGCAGGAGAGGTGAAGGGAAAAAGTTTAAAGAAATAACCATCTGTGGAACCGGTTACACATCAGAAGCAACTGGGGCTGGAGAGCTGCTCTGCGGTCACAGCACCCAGCCTGCAGGCTCGCTCCCTCCCTGTCCCGCTCCCTGCTGTGCAGCATCCATGGCGGCAGTCAGCACAGCCCGAGGAGCAGGCCAGGCACAGAAGGTCCGTGTCTCTGTAACACGAGCTGCTGTGGCACAGTCACTCAGCTGTGTCCGGCCCCCGTGGCCCCACGGACTGCACCCACCAGGCTCCCCTGTCCATGGGGTTCTCCAGGCATGACTACTGGAGTAGGCTGCATCTCCTTCTCCAGGGGGTCTTCCCCACCCAGGGATGGAACCCTCATCTTCTCCATTGCAGGTGGATTCTTTACCACTGAGCATTCATTAGGAGGCCTGAAAACCTGCCAGCCCTGTACAATCAGAAATGGTGTTTCTGTCCACTTTATCTCATTTGATTAATTGGAACAGAGTCTGCTGATGGCTGGAGCCCAGCAGTCAGGTAAAAATCACTTTACATCGACCTGTTTGCTGCCACCAGCCAGCCAAAACCCTCGATTCCTCTCTGGCCCTTTACTAATGGAGTGGGCCGTGCGATGTAATTTGTCATTCTGGAGAGACTGCTTTTATAAAAACAGGGAGTGCTGACATTATATCTAATTACCTCTAACATTCCCCGGAACAAGTACACGTCTTATCTCAGACTATAAACTTGCAGGAGGAGTGAATATACGTGAAATCCTTTTGCTAAATCACTTAGCACGAACCAAAAATTGTGCAAGCAGTTATATTGCAATAAATACATGTAAATAAAAGTCGTATTGGGGAGAGAGATGACACAGAGAGTCAGCTGTCTGGGAAAAGATCTTAAAAAAGGGAAAATAAAAGCACTTTTAAAAAATGCCACATAAACACTGAAGACTTTTCTTCCTAGGTCACTGACAATACAAGGATCCCTGGGAAGTTCCAGCCAGAGCGAGAAGACATAGAAATAAAAGGCATCCAAGTTAGAAAGGAAGAGTTAAAACTTACTTGCAGACAATATGATCTCATATATAGAAAACCCTACACAATCCATAAGAAGAGTATGAGGGCTAATCTATCAAGTCACCAAAACTGCAGAATACAGGATCAACACATAAAAATCAGCTGTATTTCCATACACTAGGAATGAACAGTCTGAAAAGGAACTATGAAAATAATTCCATGAAATATAGCACTGAAAGAATAAATTATTTAGGAATAAAATTACCTAAAAAGGAGCTAGACTGTACACTGAAAAGTACCAATGTTGATTAATGAGAGTAAGAAGACCTAGAAAGATGGAAAGACATCCTGTGTTCATGGATAGAAACAAGAATTACTACACAAGGCAGAGAAGCACGGCCCCCACCCCCCCTGCCCCACAGAGGCATCTTCGCCCGGCCACCCGGCTCACCGGAGGATGGGGCTCTGGCCAGCTCTCCATCCACTGTCCAGGGCGCCTTCCTGCGCTACAGCAGAGAGGCCAGGGCTGGCCCAGACGCACAGCGTCCTGCACACGGGAAAAGACACGAGGTCTGTCACACCCTGGGCGTCCTCGGACGGACAGCCAGCTCCCTGGCTTGGATGGAAGAGTGTTACTACAGCAAGGCCCAGGAAGAAAAGTGAAGAGTATCTATGGCAAAGATACCAACTTTCAACTCTACAAACATCACACTCAAAAGAAGTGGGAGTAAGCATTCAACCCACACCTTAGAAGGCAGCTCCTCCTGCCGGCCCCCCACAGACACACACAATTCACAACCGAGGACCAAGCACCGGGGCTCCTGAAGAGTCAGGTCTGGGAGAGAAAGGGCCTTACCTCCTGTCCCCGGATGGCGGTGCTGCCACACTGCGCTCCTACAGAAACTCTCCGCGGCGGGGTCTGGCTGCTGCGAGACGTCTGAGGCCACGTCTGTGACGGCCACCATGCCCTGCAAGGGCAGACACATGTTTCCATCGAGCCGTGATCGTGACCCTGAGACGGCTCTGGGGGTGGCCATGTCCACACGCCACGAGACACTGCACACCAGGAATTCTCACTAGTTCTGAGTGATCCCCTCATGTAATGACAGAGCTGGTCGTGTTGTTTACGTTTGAGGGGAGGCGGGGAAGGACTGAAAAATCGGGAAAACCATTTCTGCCATGGAGAACTTGCAGCGTGGTGGAGGAGAGTGAATGCCCGCAGGATGGACATTCATGGACTTTCTAGAGCTCACTGGAGGCTTCCTCACACCTGACACAGGGGGCTCACTTAATCCTGCAGAGGGCTGTCCCCTGGTACGAAATCTCTGATGACAAGGAAGGGCTGAGACCCTGCTCAAAATTCTCTCACACCCACGACACGTGGAACGGCCCTGGTTTAAACGCCTCTTTAGGACTCCCTGGGCCCCAGTGTCCCCCCCATGTGTGTGTCCGACTGCAGGCGCTCTCTCTTGCGGGGGAACACTCTGTGTGAAAAGTACACTGCACACCAGGAATTCTCACTAGTTCTGAGTGATCCCCTCATGTAATGACAGAGCTGGTCGTGTTGTTTACGTTTGAGGGGAGGCGGGGAAGGACTGAAAAATCGGGAAAACCATTTCTGCCATGGAGAACTTGCAGCGTGGTGGAGGAGAGTGAATGCCCGCAGGATGGACATTCATGGACTTTCTAGAGCTCACTGGAGGCTTCCTCACACCTGACACAGGGGGCTCACTTAATCCTGCAGAGGGCTGTCCCCTGGTACGAAATCTCTGATGACAAGGAAGGGCTAAGACCCTGCTCAAAGTTCTCTCACACCCACGACACGTGGAACGGCCCTGGTTTAAACGCCTCTTTAGGACTCCCTGGGCCCCAGTGTCCCCCCCATGTGTGTGTCCGACTGCAGGCGCTCTCTCTTGCGGGGGAACACTCTGTGTGAAAAGTCCTGGATTCAAACGGAAATCCGCCCACACTTGCTATAAACAAGATCCCTCTCCAAAGCCGCACTTCTTTGTGAAGGAGACTTTGTCTCCCACCAGCCCTGTCCTGCTGAAGCAAGGAAGCCTCTGGAACCCCGCAAACTGCCTCCTGCCAGTTTTCTGCTTGTGCCCGACTCACAGACGCCCCCTCACACACAGCGGCGTAAGCCCAGCCTTCCCCGAGGATGGCGCGCTCCGCGGGTCTCTCCGTGTGCACCTCCTGGGACAGCGCCTCTTCACTGAAGTTCTTCTCTGAAGGCAACTCCTGGGTCTTCAGCGCAGTCTGCGAGTCTAAAGGATAGTTTTAAGACGGTATCTCTTTTACTACACGTTAGTATGAAGACATTTTCCCAAATGCAACCAGATGGAAAGATTCTCAGAAAATACACATCGTTTGGAAAGCTTTCTACATGACCTGCTGGCCTTCCAATCCCAAACTTGTGTGGCTTTAAAACTACCACACACAATGTGAGTTTTCACACTGAGATGTTGAGCGAGTACTGCATGTTATATTTTTGGCAGGAGACTAGAGAAAGAGACACATGCAGGGGATGAGGGAGTTCACAGAGATTTAAACCTAAGATGAAATGTGGCCGGGAGAAAGAGTGGGCAGAGGTCATAGAAGTAAACACTTATTAAGTCTCTCTTTGAATCTGTTTCTATTTTACTTAGCAAAGGTTTCTTTGCTTGTTCTTTTCTTTTTTAATAATGTAAACGTAAAAAAAATTATGATGATGCTAACTAGCCAATGTTCAGATCCTGGCTTATGTGACAAGTCTTCAAAATCAACTAGAATCTCAGCAAGAGAGAAAGCATCAACAGAAGGGGAAAAAAAAACAGTTCTGTCTCAGGAAACCAGCTCAGAGAAAGCCACTGAGTTCTACGGTAAGAGGAAAACCTTCCCTCAAAACACCATTCCAGTTCTCCTGGGTGTACAATGACCCCGGGAGTATGATGACCCACGGGAGCCGATGCAGCTGTTAACTGTCCTGTGGATATAAACTTTCCTCTGAAGTACGGTCTGAACAAAGGGGTCTTACAAGATTCTCAACTCTAGGAACAATAGTCATTTCCGATTCCTGGACCCACCACGAGGAATCTGAACTTCTGAGTCCTCGTGATTAACGTGCTGTCCCAGAAATAATGCTGTGACTGAAATCTCTGCACTCCCCGTGGTATACACACTGGCATAACGTCTGCAAGAACGTCCTATCGGATCAGGATCAGAGTCCTCTCCTGAAAGCCAGTTGCCTGCCTGTCGGGAGCCATCATGGGAGGTCCCGCTGGTGACGAGGTCATGAAGAAAATACCGGGCAGGCAAGGCCGTCCGGGACCCCATCCATGATGAGGTCACGAGGAAAAAATCTGACAGGCAAGGCCGTCTAGGGCAAGGGACCCTCCAGGTTGGCCCCGGCCTCTACCCCACCCTGCATCCTCCCCGCTTTCCTGCTGTTGGTCTTGTTCGCCCTGCTGCGGATTCTTGTGATTCCTGCCGAGAGCTCTCCTGCTCCTCTTTCACTGAATGAGGACCAACTTAAAACCCTAATTAATAAATCTCCTGGACGCTGGTACCCTATGAAGAGGCCAGGGATGAAGGAAATGCTTCAATTCAAACCCTTTAGCTGGCATTCTGGCTTGTTTGATAAATGTGTGCTCCCATTGCACAAAATGCTCATGATTGTTCTAAACATCCTAAGCACAGTACGCTGACAAAAGAAACTATTAAGCATAGGTCCCTCCGCGGGGTAAGAAAAGCTCCACAAATATGATAGCCACAAATGTGCCTAATAGAAAATACTTTTAGATAGAGATTAGCTGGTGACTTCTTGCAGGTAATTAACTTTTAGACTAAGAGCCTGTTTTGTGCCATATCTGCTGTTTTTGCAGTCCTTCGCATTTCTGTTCTATAAAAATGTAATCCTATCTAGTTCCCATAGAGATGATGCCTATTTGTTCTACGGTAAGAGGAAAACCTTCCCTCAAAACACCATTCCAGTTCTCCTGGGTGTACAATGACCCCGGGAGTATGATGACCCACGGGAGCCGATGCAGCTGTTAACTGTCCTGTGGATATAAACTTTCCTCTGAAGTACGGTCTGAACAAAGGGGTCTTACAAGATTCTCAACTCTAGGAACAATAGTCATTTCCGATTCCTGGACCCACCACGAGGAATCTGAACTTCTGAGTCCTCGTGATTAACGTGCTGTCCCAGAAATAATGCTGTGACTGAAATCTCTGCACTCCCCGTGGTATACACACTGGCACAACGTCTGCAAGAACGTCCTATCGGATCAGGATCAGAGTCCTCTCCTGAAAGCCAGTTGCCTGCCTGTCGGGAGCCATCATGGGAGGTCCCGCTGGTGACGAGGTCATGAAGAAAATACCGGGCAGGCAAGGCCGTCCGGGACCCCATCCATGATGAGGTCACGAGGAAAAAATCTGACAGGCAAGGCCGTCTAGGGCAAGGGACCCTCCAGGTTGGCCCCGGCCTCTACCCCACCCTGCATCCTCCCCGCTTTCCTGCTGTTGGTCTTGTTCGCCCTGCTGCGGATTCTTGTGATTCCTGCCGAGAGCTCTCCTGCTCCTCTTTCACTGAATGAGGACCAACTTAAAACCCTAATTAATAAATCTCCTGGACGCTGGTACCCTATGAAGAGGCCAGGGATGAAGGAAATGCTTCAATTCAAACCCTTTAGCTGGCATTCTGGCTTGTTTGATAAATGTGTGCTCTCATTGCACAAAATGCTCATGATTGTTCTAAACATCCTAAGCACAGTACGCTGACAAAAGAAACTATTAAGCATAGGTCCCTCCGCGGGGTAAGAAAAGCTCCACAAATATGATAGCCACAAATGTGCCTAATAGAAAATACTTTTAGATAGAGATTAGCTGGTGACTTCTTGCAGGTAATTAACTTTTAGACTAAGAGCCTGTTTTGTGCCATATCTGCTGTTTTTGCAGTCCTTCGCATTTCTGTTCTATAAAAATGTAATCCTATCTAGTTCCCATAGAGATGATGCCTATTAGAAAGAAAACAGATTAATTATAAGAAAAACAGGATTGGCTACTGAAGTTGCTTAAGTCACACCAGGTGCAAGCCATAAACTGTCAACAGGCCTGAAGGCCAAAAGATATTATACATAGAGATTAACCATAAAAAAGGCCCTAATGGGCACAGAGCCCTTTTGGGGGGTGAGGAAGCCCTATTAGAGAATACAAAAAATATTGTTTTAAAAGTGGTTATTAGATCAACATTTGATTGATGTTAATGTGCTGAGGTTGTGCAGTGGAAACTATTGTTAATATAGCTGGAGATCTAGAAAAATAAAGAGTTTAGCCCTAGTGTAAAAACAGTAAGATCATTGTTAATTTTTACCAAGAGTGCTAAACAGGGGCTCCCTCACCAGAGCCACAGAGTCTTTGTGTGTTAAACTTTTTAGATAAACTTAGCTGAGAATTTCTGCAAAAAGACTGACTTTTATGTTAACAGGATTGTATTTCTACTACGTTGCAACCTGCTGTATCGTGAGAACTGCCACTTTTGTTTTCTGCGAAGCTCAAGGCCAGAAGATAATGTACAAAAAGTCTATGGGAAAAGACTCTCATAAACAAAAATATACAGAGCACACCGGGTCTCATGAAGCACAAGCTGATGTAACGTTAAACTGAGTCTGTGTGCTTATCTGCCCCTTAGAAGTGTACCAGCTCAGGGTATAAAAGCGATGGTGAAAAATAAAGCAACTGCCAGACTCTGCTGCACATCCTGGTCTGGTCTCTTTCTCTCTCTCTCTCTCTCTCTCTCTCTCTCTCCCTCGCACACTTGGTCCTATCAAGGCCGGTCCTAAGTGTCTCTCTCTCGCCAACGCCGTTAATCCTGAGGGTTCCCGTGGATCCTGCTGGGGCTGGACCCCAGCACCTGCCTGCCCGGCGGTGTGCACATACACGTCCACCCGAAGCCCAGACCGATCATGGCCCAGCCCAGATCACCTCCAGACCTACCGACCTGTCCTCTCCTTCTCACCTGTCTCCTCGAGGCTCTGTGCTCCTGCCTTGTTCTCCTGGCGTGAAACCGAGAAGGACTTTCTCTTCCTCCTGAGTCCCTATCTACACTTGTCACACATGGGACAGCCCTTTCTACTGCATTTCTATGCAGAGACGTGTCATCTCGCCCACGGGAGGGTGACTTCTCTAAAGGCTCACCCTCGACTTCCCAGCCTGCACCTGCAGCCTCACTCAAAGCTGACACAGTGAAAATCAGTCAGGGGAAGACCCTAAGTGCAAGTCGTTTCATCAAAGGGAAATAAGACAGAACTACAGCGCCATCAGCCACGCGAAGGGCAGAGATGACTGCGTGAGTCTGAGTGATGGAGGGTCAGAGAGGGAGCTGGTGACAGATGAGGCCCAGAGAGGAGCAGGGGGACGCATGGAGGGAGGGGCGCGCAGGTGGAAAGGAGAGGCCGGGAAAAGGAGATGTGCAAAGCCCAGGCCTCGGTTCCTCGATCTTCCCTGGGGGGCGGGGCGGTTCAGGAGCCTGGTGATGGTCCCAGGTGTCCGAGGGCGGGAGCCGTGGGATCCCCCCACCTCCAGCCCTCACCCCCATGCTCACCTGGGCACCTGCCTCTGGTTGACTTTCTCTTCACAGCCCAGGGCTCCTTCCTCTGTTCCAACGACGAGATCATCTCGGGCTTAGACATGCAAAGCCCTAATGCGTAAGAAGACAGGCACAGGTCGGTCCTTGGGGCGGGCAGTGAGGGGCGGGGCGGGCGGTGAGGGGACGGCGGCCGGCCCTTACCCAGCGAGGCCAGGTTCCTGTAGTTCTCCAGCATCACGCTCCGGTGCAGGCTCCTCTGGGCCGAGTCCAGCCGGGCCCACTCCTCCCCGGAGAACTCCACTGCCACGTCGCCGAACGTCAGCGGGCTCTGGGGCGACAGGACCACGTGAGCACTGGACCAGAGCTCACGCCCCCCGCCCCCAGAATGTGACGGGACTTGGAGCTTGGAGCCGGGGCCTTCAGAGAGGTGATCAGGAGCTGCCGCGCTCTTGTAAGAGGAAGAAACCAGGGGTGGTGGGCGCAGAGGGAGACCTCGGGGGAAAGCACCTCTGCTGACCCCTCGGTCTGGAACTTCTTGCCCCCAGGACTGTGAAATATCACTGTGTGTCGCTGAAGCTGCCCACCCTGTGGAGTTCTGTTATGGCAGTCCTCACAGACTAACACAAGGGCTGAGAATTATCTCCTCTTCATTTTAGGTAGATTATATGTGTAGAGAGTCATATCCAATAATGTGGAAATCTAGTTAATGATTGGGCCTCATCCAGTCATAAACTCCAAAGAAAAGAGAGAAAAAGAGAGCGCCCCTACCCGTGAAGAAGTGGCAATCTTGTGCAGGTGACGGGGGTACACAAGTGAAATATGGGACGTCAATTCAAACAATAAACAAGGGAGGCTGAGTTGTCCCAGTCCCATGCACAACCGGTCCCAGAGCCTTTTCTACTGTGAGGACAGTCAAGTGGTCTGGATCAGCACAAGAGTGGGGACACAGAGACATGCTGTGGGAAAAATCCCCAGTGTTCCTGACTTCCTGCAGGTAGTAACAAGTCCTTCTTCCTCTCTGGGGAAAAAAAGAGAAAAAAGAATGGGGAAATAAACCCATGTGACCCACGTCATGAGCATGGCACTCAGAACGTGAGGTGCTTCAGAAACACTGTGGCGACGCTGACCAAGGCCCACCCTTTCCACCTGAAGACTGACATCGTTTTACTGGGAACACAAAGCCCCTTGGAGGTCTGGTATCTGTGGAACACTACAAAACCACATGTTCTCTAACTCACACAAGCTTTGAAGACATCTTTAACCAGACTGTGTAAAGACGGGTCACAAGGGTTCTGTGAGTGTATACTTATCCTCATATTCATAGAGTCATACGTATTAAAAATCTGTCAATCTTGCCTCAATAAAGTGGTTTAGAAACAAGCTAAAAGACAAAACATTTCAATGAAGATACTTTTTTGGTAGATACTTTCAACTGCGTTCAAAGGCACAGGTGCTCAGACAGGGGCTACTTTTCTGCTTCTTTTCTGACCCAGTTCTAAAAGATAGGTTTTTGCAGATTCCAATCTTCCATTCTAAGTCTTCCTGCTCCTTGGCTGGCAAGCCTTACGCTTTTTTTTTCACCCCAATATTCAAACATCTTTCAGATATTCCTTACTAAATGAAGCAAAACATATACAGTGTATGTAGCGTATCAACTGTACACAAATCACTGTATCTTTATACAGCATATTGCTGTATATACCACAGATGCATACACTACTGCACCCTCATAGTAACTTTTTAAGCTAGAGCCAGAGAAAATGTTGCCTGTTTTTTTAGCATCTGTCACTACTTTGTCTTTGGTAAAACTGGAATTTGGGGGCCCTTAAGGAGAAGAATACAAGTTCAAATATTTTCTTGTACTTGGCAACTGGGTTTTTCTGGCTTCATTTTTTTCCTTGATAAGAAACGTCCCTTCCCCACCTCTCTAACCCCATGTTCCAGAGGGGCCCTGTGTCAGAGTGAGTACACATCCTCTGAAGCTCTTTTCCCAATTTCTACAGACGGCTCCTCATACACAGGACTAACGACTCTGGTTAGTTCTCCATCTGAATGTTTCTGTCCCCCTACCTGTCACGTGCTGAGATCCCAATGCCCCGTGTGATTGGATTACTTGGAGACAGGGACTGTGGGAAACCCCTCTCCCCACGAATGGGGTGAGTGTCCTTATAGAAGAGGCCCCAGAGAGCTCCCCAGCTCCCTCCACGTGAGGACGAGAAAGTGCAGGTCCTGTTCTCATTCCTCTTGCCATCACACAGACGTGTAAATTTTCAAATGGGTTTCACAGAGTCACACTACACCCAGAGAAAAGACACAGGTATAGAATCTGTACCTCATATAAGAATGTGATCCAATGCCTTAGCGCTGTCATAATAAAGATGAGACGGACTTCAAAAACAAACAGATAAAAACTAAAAAGCAAGCTTATCCTCACAGAAAAATATTGTGCTAATATTTTACAAGAAAAGATGAATAGAAAGTAATATTTTATAGAAAAAATACATTAAACAGGGTTTTTTTTTTGTTCAATTCAGGTAATTTTTCAAGTGCACAAATGAAAAGTTGGTAATAAATTATTTTGGTGACATTTACTTTATTTCTTTAGTAAAAAAGTAAAAACTAGAATTCTAGCTTTTGAGGCCGTACTGCCACTTCACCCACATATAATTTTTAAAGCATTTTGCTTTCATGTAAGTTTGGTGAACTTTAATCCACAAGGTAAGAAAAACTTCTGGGAATATACTTAGAGGAAATAATCAGAGACAATGCATATTCTACGTATAAAAATTACTATTGTGACACTATATTAAATAGTGAAACACTGGCTTCCACGAGCACTTTAATAAGACTACATTCACACATTCATCCACCATATACTTACTGCATCAGGCACTGGGGCAAAACTACTGAAAACTCCTGCCTGTGTCAGATGTACTTTCTGGTAAGAGAATCCGACAAGAGAAAAGCACGTCAATGAAGTATATGGAATGCTGAAAAGTGCTAAGAGGCTCTAGCAAGTAAAGCAGGGATGTGAGGAATTCGGGTGGGAGGCTCTGAAGCTTTAGACTGTGCCATCGGGAAAAGGAGAAGGCAACTTTTGAGAAGGCAAAGTGAGTGATGGGGGCGTGTGGTCCACGTCAGAGGCAGGGCCAGGTGGCAGGGGGGCCCGTCAGGCCCAAGAAGGGGAAGCCACAGGAGCATCTGAGCAGACCTTGACAGCACAAACGTCTCTGGCTGCGTCGCTGGGTGGGGACTACGGGTGGCGTGAGCTGAAGATAAGAGGACAGAGGCGGTGGTGCGGGGGCGGTGACAGCTGTCAGACTGTGCGCACCACGTGAAAACAGCGATGACAGGATTTGCCAACGAACCAAATACAGGAGGTGAGGGCAGGAGACGAGACGAGGAATGACGCCAGCTTTGGCCCAAGGAACTGGGGCATGAAACTGCCGCAGATGGACAGACACAAGGGCAGGGGCTGGTTTATGGGGGGACCCCAGGAGCCTGGGGCTGGATGTGTCCGCTGTGAGCTCCCTGCTGGACACACAGCTGGACACCGAGGCCTGGAGCTCAGAGAGAGGACGGGGCTGGAAAGGGGGACCGGGAGAAGCCGGGCAGACAGACGAGAACAGAGAGGCTAGGACAGGGCCCGGAGGCCCGGCGACAGCTGCAGCTGAGGACGATGAAGAGCTGTGACGGCGGAGAAGTCAGGAGGCGGGGAGGGCCCGGTGAGCTCTCTCAGGGCTGACTGTTACCCGTCCCTGTCAGTCAAGTTTCACTGGAACACAGCCTCGCCCAATCACTTAGGTATGGTCTGTGGCTGCTTCTAGGAGGCAGAGGGCAGCAGCCGCGGCAGAGACCTCACAGCCTGCAGAGCCCGGATATGTACTAACTGGCCCTTTACAGTGACAGCCTGCCAACCCGGAATGACCTCAGACGCCAACAACAGTCAAGAAAGACCAAGACCTGAGCGCCGCCTTTGGCAGTATGGATGGAGCTCACTGGGCGACTGAACCGGGCTCCTACATGGATGAGCTGGCGATGACACGTAGGAGACTCAGCGGACAGAGACAACTTATCAGCAATCTAAGAAGCAACACAAGCAAACGAGGAAAAGACAGCCTTACACACTGCACCAGGGCTGCCCTTCCCTCTTGTTTGCCACACTCCTCCTGCAAACCATGAGGCCTGGGACTTCCCTGGTGATCCAGTGCTTAAGAATCCGCCTAGCAATGCAAGAGACGCAGGTTCTATCTCTGGTGGGGGAACGAAGTTTCCACACCCCACAGGGCAACTAGAGAGCCCGCGTGTCACCATGAGAAGCCCTTGCACTGTAACTAGAGAGAGTCCGTACGCTGCAATGAAGACCAAAGCACAGCCAAAGAACAATATTGAAAAAAAGAAACATGGGGCTCAGAGATCCCCTCCCTGTCTTTCCCCGACAGGCACCAAGACTCCAAGAGTTCCTCCAGCCCACTCGCACCATGATAGAACTCACACTCAGAACCTTGTATGCTTCCACGACTCTCCACTAACAGGCTGTGAGCTCCCAGGGAGCAGGGGCCAGAGCTCAGCCAAGGGTTGGCTCAAAGAGAACATCAGACAAACCAGGTTCAACACAAGGGGCTGTCCTGTCTGTGCTGAGGAGTACCTTTCTGCTCTAGGGAGGGGCTGACTCAGTCCTTCAGTGACCACCAAACAGAAAAAGACATGGAGAGGAGGCAGGGAGGGAGGTCCTGGGCTGCCCCTGTAGCCCACCACTCACCAGAATGTGGGCAAATGGGAACCAGCTCCCCCGACAGTTCTCTTATACTGAAAACTTCTACAAGAAAATAAACGTCATTAAGCCCTGAAAAGCAAGCTTGCCTTTTAGAGAGGAGAAGAGGGAACGCCCCCTCACCTGGGACGTGGCTCGCAGTTCAATTCCTGTCCCGGCCGCCTCCTGCTTGGGCCTCCTCTCCCGGAGGGCGGCCGTGTCCCTGGAAGGCAGAGCTGGGGGAAGAGAAAGAAGTAGCTAGAGGCCAGGTCTCCACTTGGCTCCCCTCCTGCTGAGTCTTAAACGACGGCCACAAATGCGAAACGGATTCAACAGGTGGAGAGTCAAATGCTCCAGCATGAGCAGCCAGGGACCAATTTTGAAGGGGCAGCCGGAATAAGGTCACCAGCCTACGAGGGGCAGGCACGGTGCGGAGCGGGGTTTCTGGGAGTACTGAAACAGGGGAGTCCAGTGAGGGTGACCCTGACCGACGCTCTCAGGCTGAGTTTCCAAGCTTTGGATGCCCGCCCCCGACCCCTCACAGCCCAGGGACGCCATTCACCAGCACCTGGGCCCCGGGAAGCCTCCTGCCCCAGACCCCACGCTCCCCTCACCCTGAGAGGAGGGGTTCGTTCCGTCTGCTCGCCCGGTCACCCGCCACCCTCACCTCTGTCCTCAGGTGCCGTGGTCACCGCTCCTCGCCGGCCCTTAGACGTGGGGCCACTTCTTGAGCGCGGCCTTCCCCGGGCGGGGCGGGCGAAGGCGACCGGAGTCCCCGCGCTCCGACCTCGGCCAGCCCTGGGCTTGGTGCGGAGGGCGCCTCGCCGCGGCGGCGACCCCAGTCCGCGGGGCCCCGCGCTCACCGCCCCCTGCATTTCGGCGCCGAGCACGCCCCGCCGCCGGCTGGCCACACCCCGCCCNCATTCGCTTGTCATCCCCTGGGAGTGATCTGGCCAGCCTCGTAAATACCACCAATTCCCTGTCAATGAAAATAATCGATGAACACTGTGTAATAAAAATAGAAAAGAGTTTTATTTGAGTCAAACTGAGGACTACAACTCAGTAGACAGCCTCCCAGATCATTCCGAGAAATTGCTCCAGAGAAACATGGTTTTCAGCAGTTGTACGTATTGTCAGAACAAAACGTTAAACAAGTCAGGGATATGTTTCTTCAAGTTTTCAAGACAAACGGACCGCCATGCGTACATGATGCTTTGGCAGTATGGCTTTGGCACCTGGGAAGGAAGTATCAGTGATGCAGTACCAGCACTGGCGTCCCAGGAAGGGAGGCAGCACATGCTTTACTTCTGGTCCATGTGCCCTTGTATAATTAAAGCAGATGTACAATGCGTATTTGATACACCGCAAACAAGCTATTTTAGCTCAGTTCAGTCGCTCAGTCGTGTCAGACTCTTTGCGAACCCATGTGCAGCAGGCCAGACTTCCCTGTCCATCACCAACTCCCAGAGCTTGCTTAAACTCATGTCCATTGAGTCAGTGATGCCATCCAACCATCTCATCCTCTGTCGTCCCCTCCTCCCCCTGCCTTCAATCTTTCCCAGCATCAGGGTCTTTTCCAATGAATCAGTTCTTTGCAATAGGTAGCCAAAGTATTGGAGGATTTTAGTTAGAGTAAAATTAAAATTAACTCACATATAAGACAGAATGACTTCCCCATTTCTTTTAAAATCCTGTCCATAACACTTATCTTTATCTGAGTTATCTGACCCTTTTATGGGCTTACCTGGTGGCTCAGTTGTAAAGCATTCGCCTGCAATGCAGGAGTTGAGTGTTTGATCCCTGGGTCAGGAAGATCCCCTGGAGGAGGAAATGGCAACCCACTCCAGTATTCTTGCCTGGAGGCTCCCATGGACAGAGGAGCCTGGCAGGCTACTGTCCATGGGGTCGCAAAGAGTCGGACACGACTAAGCGACCACACACACACACAATTCTATGATTTTGAACCAGGGAGACTGGCAGATGTGGGCTTGATCTTGGCACTGGCATGTCAGCCTCAAGTGAGGAGAGAACCTCATGAAGCCTCTGAGAGACTCGCTTTCCTCACGGGCATCACCGGGGTGGTGGTATGTCTCCTCGCCGGTGCCAAGAGCCTGAGCGCGAGGTAGAGAAGGTTCAGTGAGCCCCTGCCTGTAGGAGGTCCCTGTAGACCTCAGCCTTCATTCGTGGGCTGGTCCACCAAGGTTATGTACAGAGGATGAGGATCAGATGATTAGACAGCATCACCGATTCAGTGGACATGAGTTTGCGACCTCTGGGAGATACTGAAGGACAGGGAAGCCTGGCGTGCTGCAGTCCACGGGGTGGCCAAGAGTCGGGCGCGCCGGAGCGGCTGACAGCAACCACACTAGCACCGAGGCTTCTGCAGGCTCGCCGCTGTCAGGTCAGCAGGCTCCTCCTCCGGCCGGGAGCTCAGGTGTGGAGGAGGCTGCGGCCGTGGGGCCGAGCGGTCCCCCCGCCTTCTTGCCCGCGGCGTGCGTCTTCTGGTGCCGGATGAGCGCGGAGGAGAAGCTGAAGGCCTTGCCGCAGCCGCCGCACTCGTAGGGCTTCTCGCCGGTGTGCACGATGTGGTGCTGGACCAGGTAGGCGCGGTTGCTGAACGCCTTGCCACACTCGGGGCAGGCGTAGGGCCGCTCGCCCGTGTGCGTCCGCCGGTGCAGCGTCAGCGACGAGCCGTGGCTGAAGGCGCGGCCGCAGTCGCCGCAGCGGAAGGGCTTCTCGCCCGTGTGCACTTTCTGGTGCTCGAGCAGGGAGGACACGTGGCCGAAGGCGGCGCCGCACTCGGGGCACTTGTAGGGCCGCGCGCCCGTGTGCGCCAGGTGGTGCTGCACCAGATGCGATCGGTTGCTGAAGGCGCGGCCGCAGGCCCCGCACGCGTAGGGCCGCTCGCCGGTGTGCGTGCGCCGGTGGCGGCTCAGGTGCGACACCTGAGTGAAGGCCTTGCCGCACTGCGCGCAGGCGAAGGGCTTCTCGCCCGTGTGGATGCGCCGGTGCTCAGTGAGCGAGGCGCTCTGGCTGAAGCGCGCGCCGCACTCGGCGCAGGCGAAGGGCTTCTCGCCCGTGTGCACGCCGCGGTGCTGCGCCAGGTGCGCGGCCTGCGTGAAGGCCTTGGCGCACTGGCCGCACGCGTAGGGCCGCTGGGCCGTGTGCGTGCGCTGGTGGCGGAGCAGCGCCGACGAGAAGCGGAAGGCCTTGTCGCAGCGCGCGCAGGCGAAGGGCTTCTCGCCCGTGTGGATGCGCTGGTGCTCCCGCAGTGACGAGCGGCTGCGGAAGGCCTTGGCGCACTGGCCGCACGCGAAGGGCCGCTCGCCGGTATGCACGCGCCGGTGCTGCGCCAGGTGCGTGGGGCGCGCGAAAGCCTTGCCGCAGTCGGCGCAGCGGTGGGGCCGCTCGCCCGTGTGCACGCGCCCGTGCGCCGCCAGGTAGGAGCCCTGGCTGAAGGCCTTGCCGCACTCGGCGCAGGCGAAAGGCCGCTCGCCGGTGTGCACGCGCCGGTGCTGCGCCAGGTGCGCGCTCTGGCTGAAGGCGCGGCCGCAGTCCGCGCAGGGGAACGGCTTCTCCCCGGTGTGCGTCCTCTGGTGCAGCGTAAAGGCCGAGCAGTAGCTGAAGGCCTTGCCGCAATCCCCACACTTCCACGGCTTGCTGGGGCCGCCGCCCCCTCGCTCTGTCGCCGCCGCCGCCTCCACGCTGGCGGCTGCCTTCTTCAGGGTCCTGCGATTTCTTGGAGCACCGCGCCTCTGGAGGGGAGTCGGGGGGCTGCAGCTGGTCTCGGGGGTTCCGGAGGCTAGCTCATCCTGCTCGGGCACCCTGTCCCCGGTGGCGTCTTCCTTGCGGGCCTCCTGCTTCAGGCAGCTTTCCAGGTTCTCCGGCCCGACCTTGAACCCACCCTCGGGTCTGGGGGTTCCCCCCGACTCGGAGCTCTGGGGAGCGGCGCCCTCCAGGAGTGCTTCCATCCCGGCTTTCAGAGCTGCTGCCTCGATTTCACATCTTTGTTACGGGAAAAGTAGGGGAGGAGGAGGGGCGGGAAGACGGAGGGAGAGAGAAAGAAGGAAAGACAACGGAGAACCAAACCGGTCTGTCACCTGTCTCAGGCCGGGAAAGGGTCAGCGCAGGGGCTATCTACTGGCCAGACCGTTCTTTGTCCTGGGGCCACCCCGTGCATTCTATTCAACAGGACATGGAACAGGATCTCGGGCCTCTCTGATGCCAGCAGCACCCCCACTCCCCCCAGGAGCGACAACCAAAAACATGTCTAAACCCTGCTGCTAGGGATTCAACTGCGTCCATGCAAAATGCATACTGAGGCCCTCACTGCCGGTGTGTGCGAACGTGCTCACGTGTGTACTAGGGGCAGCCCCCTGGGGAGGGCGGGCCGAGTGGGGGGCCATTCTGGGGGTGATGGGTTTCTCCTGGCATCACCCTCTGAACACACCCTTCCCTGAAAGACCCTGGATCCAGAGGGCCGTGTGTCTGCCCCCTGGGCTTGAGCCTCGGATGAAACTGTCTTCCGTGAAACTGGTCCCTGGTGCCAAAAAGGCTGGGGCCTGCTGCTTTAAGCTCTTGCCACATGTGTGCTTTTACTCCACAGTGAGGCTCCTGGAAGCAGAGACGCCAGGGCCCACACTGAGGCTGCGGGGCTCCAGAGCTTTCCCCCTTCCTCTCTCCCCTCCACTTAAAGTCACCAATGGCTCCATGAAAGCCTTTCTCTTCTCCGTTGTCTGCACAGCAGCCCCCCAACCTCAGCCTCTACCCCACCCTCCCCTGTTCTGAGCTTGCCCTTCTCCAGTCAAAGGCCTCCTCCCTGTTCCACAAACGACTCCAGGCATGCTCCTGCCACAGGGCCTTCGCACTGGCGTCCCATCTGCCTGGAAGGCTTGTCCCCCAGTGCAGGCCTCACGGAGGAAGTGATGGAGTGAGCATTCCGGGCTGTGAGCACCGCCAGTACAAAGGGCCTAAGGTGGGACCACAACCAGGGTGACAGAGGGAACGGAAAGGGGCTGGGCGCGGAGGGAGGGCTGGAGAAGTGTGACCCGGGCAGAGAGCAGGGAGACTCTCTGACGTGTGAGGGCAGGTGACGCAGGATCTTTGTGCAGGGTGAGAA